GTAGGCCCTTCCTCGTCATGGCCGAAATCCTTGTACTCCCGTTTTTTCTTCTCCTCCTGGACGCCATCTGAGGAGGGAGCTGGGGACGCGCCCTTTGGCCCGGGCTCTTTCTCGACGTTTGTCATCGCTGCGGGGACGGAGGGGAGAGCTGCGTGCCAGCAAGTCGGACGGCGGAGGGAACAGGGATGAGGAGAGAGAAGGGGAGAGGGAAGGAGGTCGGAATATGATGGTTCGTATTTGCTTTTATTATTGGCCCTGGACCCCCCTCTGTTATCACCACACAAAATTCCCACGCCGGCCTCGGGCCCTGTTGTCAAGTGATCTCCGGCCGGACGAGCCGGGCTCTCAGGCAGAAGCTTCTACCGTGCGCACCATACCGTCGGCGACATCGTCCATGGCTCCCGGTCCTGCCCACCCAATGGCCTTTTCTCCTCGACACGCCCCCTCCGTCCCCGTTGACATCATCACCATCATGATGCATGTTCAACTTCACCCATCGAAACAAGACTATTTCTCGACATCTCCACTATACAGCCTCGCTCAATTTACCCACTGTTTTAGATCTAAAAATATCTCTTCACTCTCATCATCATCTCGAGAGCGTTCACCCGCCCCGACCAATCACCAAACGCTGCGTCGGCGCTCAAGAACCCGACCACCCGCACCCGCATCAGATGCCGCCATTCAAATTCCTCCATTCCAGAAAAATGGCCGGCGCAAAGTTACAGTAAACAGAGCACATCAAGTGGGCATCAACGATCGTTTTCTTTCGTTGATCGCGTCACCGACGGCTCGTAGTGCGTCGTCGGGGGAAGACGTGGCGCACGCTGATGCGATCCTCACTTCTGAACTCGGGCTGTTCGTTCAGGCTTGGACGGCTTGCCAAATTTTCGAAGAGGTGTGTAAACCTCATGCCTATTCGTAACGCCTTTCCTCTCCTTATCAATGAAGTAAGTACTTTATGGTACTTACTTCAACCTCCTTACTTCACCCCACCACTCCCACCCCGTCCCAGCCCCATCACTCAGGCACTGACCCCCTCACCCTCCAACCCTTTCCAGTCACTGTCAACGTCTAATCAACCTATCCAAGGGCCGCCCACAAAAGGTAACAAATACCAAAAACTGGGTGCGCCGCACCGCAAAGTCCGCAACGGACTCACTGGGCAGGCGGTTGCTAGTCAACGACATGGGAACGGGGCAACCGGGTGCGCGATTAGCGCCAGTGGTCGTTGCTCGTTGCCTATTGGTCAATTGCTTTAAATTTGTGTCGTCTGCCTGGCGGTTGGCTGGCTTAGGTCAGGCTGAGTGTGGCAGCATCATGATCAATCGTCAGTCTATCAGAACTGTTCTAAGGTGATATCGGTACAGGGTAATATCTAGAGTACAAGCTAACGACCATGAACCAATGAAAAGTGAATGAATGGAAGGGTAACGGTTCTGTCATGTTCTGTTCAATGTTCTGTCCTATCATCCTCCTGTTCGTCGTCGTCGAGAAGATAGCCGTGTACGATGCGCAGCCCCCCTTCCCCGCCTTGGATGTACAAGGCTGCTAACGAGAATGAACCAATGAAAAGTGAATGAAAGGGTAGGGTACTGTCATGATTCTGTTCAATGTTCTGTTAACCCCTTCTTCGCAAGTCGTCAATGTCAACAAACATATGTAAGATAACCAACCGTGCGCAGCCCACCCCACATCCTCCCTCACAAATGAGCCCAAACGGTGCACACGACACGACCGCGACGCGACGCGAACCCGCACTTCGAATTCTCACTTCGGACCGGAATCGCGGTTTCCTACTTCCTCCACAATCAACCCAAGCGGTCGAATCGAATGCACCCGAAAAAAAATAAGCAAACAAATGAAGACTCGAAGTGGTTAGACGAGAGACCCCCGCTCGGAAAAGCCACCGGGTCGAAGACACCGACGAAATCTCGTCAGCACGGCGATCCTTTGACCTTGCCTTTGACCTTACCTTTGACGAGCTTTCACACCGAGTGGCGAGCGGCGAGCTTCCTTCCGCAGGACGCACATCGAGTATCGAGTGTAGAATATGTAAGTAACGGTAAACGTTCAACCCCTCGTGTAGGTGTGCACCCCTTATGTGCATGCCGACACCATGACCGGTTGACCCACCACCGACCCGCACCGACCCACCAGCCAATTCCCTTCTTCCGATTTCTTAGCATCCCTCACGGGCGCGAATCCAAGCCCACGTTTCCCCACATAATTCAATTATCCGAATCGTCTACTCTACATATGTAATCACCCCAAGCTGATTTTCTTCATCTGTCAGTTCTTTGTCTCTAGTCAATTCTTTATCTCCAAGATCGCCCGAGGACTCTTTGTATCCCGGCATATCCAGAAGTTCGCAGAAGGTCCTCCGACATCGGCATCGGAAAGAAGTTTAAAGAAAGGAAACGAAAGGAAAAAGGAAGGAAAACGCCACGCGCACATGGCGTGCTCGTGCTCGATGCGCCGCTAAGGACGCCGCCTGTCCGTCGACATCGATCACTCTGAGGCGTACTGATTTCCTGTATATGGAAGCCCCAAAAAGATCGACGTGCAGCGCTCGAAGTGTTATCTCAAAAGCAAGCACGTACGGCGAAGGCAAAGTGCACCCCAGTTTTCAGAGTACACCGCACAGCGGCGGTGGCGTACTTATCTCGAGACTCTCTTAGAACGTGAATATCCAACGTGTAACGAAAAAACCGTTATTTGAAGTCTCCTTGCTTCTCGGAGGGGTCCTGCTCAGCCCCTGCACGTCACTAAGATAACAAGATACTCATGCTCTGAGTATGCGAGAACGCAGACCCCCAGCCTGAACGTGTACAGCAGAGCTCAGCAGGTGGTGGAACGGAGAGCACTGGCATCGACACCTTGACACCCCGAGCTCGAGCTCGAGCCAAGCCCTTCCCCTCCAGCCCAGTCGTGCTCGCCAGGATCAACCTTGCCCCGACCTGCCCCATCCATTTTGCCTCCATCCTCCCTCCAAGGCTTCAGTTCCCCACAAACGCTCCCTGGAAAACGCGTGTTGATCTCAATCGATAAAATTCCGCATTCCGAGAGCAGCTGACCGACTTACTGCTGCAGTCCCCGTCTGTCCACCGAGATAATAGGAGATAATACACCTGGGTCGATCGAGGGTCTTGGAGGGGAAGGCTGGAATGTGCGCCACAGCGATAGATAACCGTTGGCACTGGGATTCCGACGGCCCTATCTCGCAAACAAACTGGGGAAAGTTACGACATAGCGCCACGACATGCGAGATGGATAATGCGGGGCCCCGCACACGATGGGGAAATAGAGTAGTAACAAGTCGAGATCGGGGGAACTTGGAAGAAATAGGGCCCGACGCACGTCGCAGATTCTCTTGTGTTCTCGCGTGTTCGTGCTCGAGACTCTCGAGAGGTCCACAGAGAGCATTTGGCGATCAAATCCAAGACACTTTTGCGCGGATTGGAGAACTTTGGACATCGAGAGGCGAGCGAATGGGGATGGACGGCTTCATATTTGAGCAATATTGAACAGTCGAATGTTCGAGTACAGCTTGGTATGTACTGTGACGGTGCTTGAGTTGTCCTAAATGGTGGCGGGGGGGGGGGGGGTCAAAGGCAAAGGCAAAGGGACGCCGAAGTTGAACGCATGGAGAAAGCACTCAGGAAGGAAGGCAGGCGAAGGAGATAGAAAGATGGATGGATATGAATATGGATGTGGATGCATACGGCACGATAACGATGGATTAGAGTAATAAGGTGTGGAAATGTATATGTGGTGTGCTGATGATGATGGATGGTGATGCTACAGGACTCTTTCACCCCGAACGAGCTCGAGGAGGGCGCGGGATATGTATGGGTGTCAAGATGGGGAAACCAGAGAGAGGAAAATGAAAAGACAGAGAGGAAGGAAGAGGAAAGAGGAAAAGTGAAAAGCGACAGAAAGAAAAAGAACCAGCACCTCGAAAATAAACCACCATCCGTCCATCCACTCTAAAGGTCAAGCCAACCCCCCACCTAGGACGCCATCGCATCCCCACCCTGCGCCCTCTCCGGCGGCTCCTCCTCCATCGACCTGTCCCCTGGTCCTCCCGCACCACTCCCACTCGCCTCCGCCACCTCCTCCGGATCCAACCAGCTCTCCTCCACCGTCGCCTTCACTCTCCTCACATACTCCTTCATATTCTCCCTATACAACTGCGCCGCCTCCGCGTTCGCCGGGCTATTCGGGTTCGGGTCATGCAGCAAGCTCTGTATGCTCGTCAGGATCGCCGCGACGTCGTACGTCGGCGACCACCTATTCTGCAGGATGTCCAGGCAGAGCTCCCCGTTGGCGTACACGTTCGGGTGGAACATGCGCGAGAGGAACTTGACGGTGGGTGGTTTGTTGGGGTAGGACTCGTCGAAGGTGAGCAGGAGCTTGAAGGTGCCGTCCTCGAAGGGCGTGTCGCCGGGCCCGAAGATGACGGCGTTCCAGAGCATGATGTTGTCGGGGAGGGGCGAGCCGGAGATCCCGCCTGGGGGGTCGGATTTGAGCCGTCGGAAGTCGCGGATGAGGCGCTTGCGGCAGTTTGTCGACTAGTGGTGGAGAAGAAGGTGGGTCAGCATAGTAAGATATGATTGTGAAGAGGTGAGCGGAGTGCGACTCACCATTGTGATGTGAATTGGGTGTTGAGAGTAGGTGGGTTACGTCGAAGAGAAGAATAAGGTTCGTTTCAAGTTCTTCTGGGTCGTCGCTGTGTCGTTGCTCGGCGTCCTCTGCGGCCTCAGACAATAACAGTAACCCACGAGATCGATAAAGGGCTTCGTGAATAAGACACACCGCCGTCAATCGATGCGTACGTGATGTGGTGTGATTATACAGCAGAGTCGCGCAGCCTGCGCCTCCGTGCAGTGAATTAGTCGGGGATGTGGGTCGTGTGGCTTTGAGGATACGATTAACTCGATCTTCAATTAAAACGCAGGTCGGATCTCTGTTCGATGATGGCTCTAGTCGTCGTAGAGAAACAATCTTCAGTAGACGGTCAAAGAGGTTTTTGGTAGGGTGAGGCGTAGGTGGATGGATGAGACGCTCAGCTCAGCGATAGGGCAAGGGGCTACAATCTGACGCCAGTTGTTCGCTGCGAGGCCTCTTGTTTGGCAGGACAAGGATCAACAAATCTGGATGAGCCAATCGGATGAGGCGGAAGATGTGGTCTGCTGAGTCAGCGATTACCAAGCTTCGCCTTCGCACCGTTCTCCGTCAGAGCCATCATGGCTCCCTCTGCTCCCCCGGGCCCTAAAATCCAAGTATATGCATCGTTTCCTCGCACTGTGGCGCTCGGCGCCGATCTCAATGCTGATCCTAGTAATTAGCGTTGGGTCCATTGCCTCACCGTCTCAGTCGAGACCCTCAACACGCTCAAATTCTCGCCAAGGCCGTACAAATGGATCCGCTACGCCATCGGGGTCGTCGTTGGAGCATAGGGCGACCTTTCAACCTAGCCCCGACTTGCTCAATATTGTGGACTACAGTACTGGCCTCGCAGCCGACTCTGAGGTTCTTACTACCATACCAGCGACGAGGAGAAGTGCAGGATGTTCCCAGTTGATTCTGACATTGGACGTGGCACAACCGTCACTTCTACTGCTACCACTCGGAGGGCTCATTTCCGCGATGACGTTGCAGAGCGGGATGGTCAGATGTGTGTCGTGACGAGCGCCTCCCAGAGCTTTTGCGAAGCTGTACCATATGAAGAGCGATGCGGTATGCGACTCTGAATCTGAATCTGTGCTCACGCTCACCCACCATTGCAATGGCGGTAGTACATTGAGGCTTACACTCAGCGTCGTACTCGTGGTGACGGCAACATTGTGGAGGACATCAACAGTGTTCAGACAGGTCTCTTTCTGCACAAGTCAAGTCACAAGCGGCTCGGCCTTGGTCTCCGTTATATAACCTCAGACCCCCTCACCTCAGGCTGTTCGGACCCACGACGATTCTTCCTCCCAATCTACCTCTCTGGAAGGCTAATGCAAACTAGAACTCTTCGACGAAGGTCTTGGCTTCAAACCTGAGTTACTTAGGATTTTGCTCTCAACCGTTCAACCGCCTTCGAGCGTTCCGTCTTTCATGAATCATTACCAAGTCAGACTTCGATAAGTTGACCCGACTCTAGCATCCTCTTGGCAGACGACGAGAACTCTTCGAAGCTTCGTCGAGTGCATCGCTTTGTATTCTTTCATTATTGACTTCGTTCATTATCGGACTTTGCTAGGCATGGACCGCGAAGAAGCGCCGCGGGCGCATGGTCACATTAATTGTATGCCTCTTTACTGGCAAGTCGTGCAATTGCACGATTGGAAGACCGGCCGGCCTAAGGGCGCATCCTGACCAAGTCTTTCAGGCGGGTGTTGGCAAGCATTTAGGATTTAAACAGCCGTGTTCTGCAAGCTCGACACTCAGCCAATCCAATCCCTACACTTACGCAGACGCTTCGTGCCCATTTTACTTATCAAGCCCACCCACTTCTCCGCTGTAATCTCTTCCTCTGGGGAACCATGAGCGCCTCGAGGACTTTTTGTCCACGATGAGCAGCCCGGACCGTCGTCTCCCATAGAACTCTCTCGCAAAGTGCTCTATCTGGCCATCTACTTATCTTCCACGTTCTGTTCCTTGTCAAGTGTGTGTGTGTGTTATTCACCGGCTATCCATGTTCTCTTCTTTCTGAAATGCCTGACGACTACCGTTAGCTCAATCCATTAAACTAATGACTTGAAGTCCGTTCATTCGTACTTATGCCCGTATGGACGCGTTTGTGGACCCACCGCGCCCTCTTCTGTGTTTTCACTGCCGACGACCTCACGCGTGCCTCGAGGACGATAGGCGTAGAGACGAAGAGCACCCCGGACCGGGGTCAGCTAACCGGACACTCAAAGAGTCAGTCAGTGCTCTATCAAATTACTTCCCTCGCGTGGTTCATTTATGCACAGATAACTCTCACCGGTGTGTTCGGCGTGCTCGGTTAACGTCTTCGACATGAGAAATAAATGTTAACCATACCCCAGCCTTCTAATCATATGTACGACGTCTTCCCCGCTATTGTTCTCGCTTCAAATTCACTAAATATGCAGATCCTCATATCATGTCCCCCTACCGACGCTGCGCGCCGAGTACATACATTCTGTACGTACTTCCACACCCCACTGACCGTGCAATTGCAATCTGCCCAAAAGCAACCCCAGGCTGCCCGAAATTCAAACCCCTTCTCCCATACATAATTCCTTCTTCTTTTCTAGTTCCCATTAAATTCTCCACCGCATGAGAAACAAACTCACACCCCACCTCGCGTCCTCCTCGTTTTCACATCGTGCTCGTGCTCGCTTTACATCATGGCTCACGACCCACAACCCAGGGTTCTCCGTGTCTAACCGAGTTCTGAGTCCTACCTATCGGACTCTTCGCTTCCCCACAAAACGTTAAAGAACCTCATCGGCATCCCACCTTCGCTTCCCAATGCCCCTCCGTGCTGCCGTCCGGGTTCGGCACCTCCCCGGGCTCGTTGTATTTTTGTACCCACCTTCGACGGATCCCACATTGGCGACCCCCCTCCGAGAGAAAAGGAGGGAGACTGTCCGGACAAGGAAGTGTCCACGGCTATCCCGATTCCCAGTTATGAGTCCAAGAGGGAAGTGGGGAGGTTGAATGGGACGGCTCCCCCCGAGTCGGAGGGTATCGCACGCTATACCCCCTCAGCCCTCCGTCGCTGCGCAGCTGCCAGGGCTAGAAGTGGTGTGCCCCCTAAGCAACTAGTCAAGTTATTCTCGTCCGGCGGCCTCGAATTCCCGCGAGCCTTATTCTATCATCACCACTTGCCGTCAATGATCCTGTTCCATCCCAGCGCTCAAGCTCAAGCTCAAACGTTGAATACAACAGATCAGGAAGACAAGGCTTGATTGCTAGAATCAAAGAGGGGACCTTTCATCGAGATATCAATAGCGCCTCCATCATCATCATGACACCAATGTCGCGTGGAGTGGCGAGGAAGCGCCATTTTTACACAAAAGGGGTGAAGATTGAAAGGATGCGGCTGTAAGTACCCCAGGTCCCTGATAAGCACTAAGATATCCATCCAGCCAAGAAGGCCAAACGGGTATGCTCCCGTACTCGATTCCACATATTGATAACCACAAGCACGTCCCAAGACCTACTCTTTATTTGGTTGACGGGGAGAATGAGAACGAACAAAGCACGCTCGGCGGACTAGGCGCGGCGAGGTGGTTCTCGGGATGTGAAGAGGACTTTTCGCGTTTTGCTTTTGGGACAAAGACCTCGCTCTTGAAGGGACAAGACATAGAAAGACGGGGCGAGCACGCTTGCTGCTACTTGAACACGGCAAGATTCTGAAAGAATAAACAAACGCCACTTGGAAACCAGTTTTCTAATATATGTATGTTATCAGCGGAAGATTCGGAATAGACAAGGATCTCTGTTAAAGCGCCACAGCACCCCACCCCCAAGCGCAAAATACTCTCCGTCACCATCGGGTCTCGCCGCTGAGAGAAGACTGAACCATGCTCTTGCTCTGCTATCTGGGCACACGACTACTAATTGACGTGATTTAAGCGCTCGTCGACCTGTAGCGTAATTTCATCGAAGCCTTGGCGCTTGGCACGGCTAGGCCATGCTCCCTACCGCGGGACAAAGTATTGATAATGGCTCCATCCTTCCGAGTCCCGACCCCACTTTCTACGCGCCTTGGGGATTTCAATTGCCTGGGGATAAAACAAAATTGGCCCAGTGTGCGATGCCGAAAGACGAGCCGCGGTAAATTCGCTATTTGCCACGAGCCGATAATGGAATGGATGGGTGTTTTCATTTCTTCAAAGTTCCGTTTACAGCCTATAAGTAGTCTGGAAGTCTAAGAGTCTAAGGCTAATTGTGAGATATCATTCTGCCACAAGTGGCCAAGTTGTCGTCGGCAAGCACTGTAGAGTATTGGCTCGCTGTGCACTAGAGTCAGCTGGAAACACGAAAGAAGATATAAACAAAAAGGGGACTTCTAGACCGTACACCTGGCGAAAATGGCGCGTTGGCCACCTACTTGAAGATTTGTTTCCCTGACACAGTGTCCGTACATCAAGGCTGACGAGCAACAAATAGGCGCTCGTCAACCAGTAGCGTTGTTTAGTTTATTCTCGGCATTACCCAGCAGCGAGATAGGCAAGGAGTTCCTTCCGATTCTGCATCCAATGGATGGGAACAAACGGGGGAGGGGGGAGAAACCAGTTTTGTGTGATGCCGAAGGACCACCCGTGAGTGGTATATGACCGTATTAGTTCGTGGGCCTGTTACTCTGAGGTATTTTCTAAAGCAAATAATTTGCCCCCGACGCCTTTTAAAGCAATCTGAGTGAACGTTTTGACCCCGCCGGAAGTCGCTAGCAGACACGGAGTTGGAGGCTGAAAGAGATGGGTCACGGCCTCCTCAAAGTAGCTAAGTTGCTTTCCTATGATAAGCCTGGAGTATGGCGGGTACAATATTCCTTCTATTATTGAAGTCACCTTCCTCGCCTCGAGCGATGGATCAACGACAAGATTCTCCAAAGCGAAGTTCGAAGAAGATGCCTAATTTCAAAACACAAATAAGCATCCAAATGGCAGTAGTATTAGGCAGGTCGGAAGTCCGGGCCGCTTCCGATGTGGAACCTCCGCCAAGGCCGAATTGGCGACTCGCCTCCTGTCCACAACATCCATCTACCTCACGAGTGCTATGTCTCCATCGCTGTCCTCGCTACCTGGAGAGCTTATAATCGAGATAATGGATAACCTGGACAGTCCTTCCATCCTTCGGATGGCACTTGTGCGTGATCCCTTGCTCGAAATGATCACAACACTGACAGAAATTTTATTACATTTATATTTTTATCCACTCTACATAGACCTGCCGTTTATTTCACGAAATATTCCAGTGCAAACACATCCGTTATGTCTACGAGCTCGGTCTGAGCTACATGCGAGACAACGGATCGGGCAAGTCGATTGATGAGCTGCTCACTGCTTTCCGATATCAGCGAAGGGCGTGGGCAGCCCTCGAATGGAAGCGCTTTGAAACCGTGAAGCCTCCACCAACCCTGGCACGTTTCCAACAATCCTCTGGGATATTGACAAGGAAAGATAGGAACCACCTTTTCGTCATCTATCTACCATCCTCGACTCGACCTATCCGTACTGTCCAGCACATATTTCACAGCATGACTGATATCCGTGATTATGCCATCGACGCAAACCAGGATCTTGTCATTTTGAGAGATTCCGGAGAGTGAGTCTTCGTTTATGTGGGACGTGTTTACCCGATGCCTATGTGGAACTAGTTCGCCGCCGAATACACGGTGTTTCCGCCTTCATTGTCGGATGATCTCGACGGGCCTTGTCCATCCCAAAGCGGTTGTAGGGGGCATCCTTAATTTCACGATACATGGGGAGCACCCAATTAACCACCAAGGGCTTGTAATCTCGAAAGTTCGGCTTGCAGATGACGTCGTCTCCCTTTCTGGGTATTGGCGAAAGGGTTTCCATCTCTGGCTTTGGAATTGGACTACGGGTCTCCTACTCTTTGTGTGTTTTTCAAATTCCCCGTGTCCGCTACCAATAAACTCGCTCCTCCAGACCTCATTCGAGAATGGGTTACCAGACTGCCCCCTCAACCCCGATTTTGAGTTGCTCCGGCGAGACGCCTTCATCCTGACCTCGAAAACTTCAAGTGGCGAGATAGTCGTTTACAAGTTTTCTCCTACTGTGCCCGGAATACCCGTCCACGTGGCCTCGTTCGCACTGCCGCCCACTGCACCACAGATCACTGTGATATCTATACACATTCATTCGGGGGAATTCCAGCCACGGTCCACACCAGGGTCTCTGTTCATGCATTTGCCTGACTCATGGATCCTCATGTTTCGCATCAGCTACACCGACCAGCCCTATTCGGTCTTCGTCCGCGCTTCGACTCTTCTGAAGTACCTTGACGACTTTGCACCTGGCGATGAGGCGCAAGGTGTGCCATGGGAAAAGTGGGGAGAGAAGGAGAGCCGGTTCATGCCCGGCGTGGGTTCCAGTGGTAATTGGCCGTGATTACTTCTCTCTTCGTCGATTTTCAACCCCGTTCTTACACCATTTCATAGGCGTCTTCATGGGAGTCGTGTTGTGTACAGAACGCCTGACAGAACGGGCGTCGGGGTGCTAGAGTTTTCCAACGCTACATTGGGTCTCAGTTCCGATTCTCCTATCTGCAAGCGCTATGGACCAGACAATCCGACTGTCCTGCCATGTAAAGCCATATTTTTGCAAGATGTCGTTACTCGCCTCCCGTATCACACAGTCTCGAAGGCGATGGAGGGGGACCCACCACACACATATGTGATCGATGAGGAACACCTCATCGCGTTCGGTGTAGGTCCCTTCCTAAACCCCCGACCGAGTGTTGCTGATTCTTTGGGATCAGACTCGAACAAATGGATTTAATATACAAGTATATTTGTTCTAACCATGCCCAACAGTAGACCTGCAACTAACATCCTCAGCTCACCTTTTGTGTTCTCATACTATATTCCATCAGCCATGGGCATTGGCAAAAGATCCATATTGGATGTGGATGTAGAGGTGTGGATGTAGCGCCCACCTTCGATGACACCACTTTCTAGATAGAAAACGCCACGAGGCAGATATTCGTTTGTTTTATTTTGAAACAGGCCTGTCGTTCGTGCTATGAATTGTCCCAGACCACCATCGCCCTTTAGATCTCCTACGAAAACTCGATTTTTCCCCCATACAGGGGGGTTCCATTTTTTTTTTTTTTTTTTCGCGGACGATCACTGGACTAACTAACCGGCCCTAGGTCCGATCCCGCAATTCTAACACCCCCTTGTCTCGGATCCGTCGCTCTGACCCACCCTTGTCTGATTTGCTCGCAATCCCCGGCGACATCCTCCTCTTGTGCAGACAGAATCATTCTTCGCAGTGGCAATTCCTATTAAGCCTGCGTCATGAGAAGGCGGGGAAGTTTGCCATTGGTCAAGCTAAGAATCCTCGGGTGGTAGACTTGCGTTTGTGCTCTGGATTCCGGAAGTCCAAGAGTCCGATTCTGTGAGCAAAATCATTTTCCTTGCATCGCCTTGCGGCGTGGAAGTATCTGCCACAAGCGGCTAGAGCACACAACTGGCAGAAATGGCGCACTTGGCCTGACTGACTGTTTCTCCTCCAGAACTTTGATTCCGCGACAGGGCCTGCCGATAGCGAGATGGCCGAATTCCCCAGCATAATCTTTTGGTGTTGTTATCCATGTGGCTGTTGCCGTAAAACGCATGCCATCAAGGATTAAGCGCTCGGCTGGAAAGGCGCGATTTAATTCACTACGCACGGCACAATTAAGCGCCCTTTGGCTGCAGGGTGGTTCTTCAGCATTCCTTCCAACCCTGCAGTACAGTAAACTGCATGTCATAACCTCTTTTGACATATAGTGCGATGCCAATGGATTCCACCGATGGTCTCGGCCTTTCACCGCTGGCTCTGACTCGGCCACTGTAAGGCGGTTTGGCCTTCGTCATATCCGATTCCCTGCGCCTACTGTTAGCATTTCAATTGTCAGTTGACCCGCCTTATGAGGCATAATCGCCACGGCATGAGTTTCCAAGAAGCTTCTATCATGAGAAACAGGGTCCACAATTTAGGCAAAAGCTGTCTGGAACACGGAAGCGCAGGCACGGCGGTTATCGTCTCGACTGGCAGAAATGGCTCACTAGGCGCTTTTAAGACTATTATGCTTCCGACTGCGACGCTAAGGGAGGATTAAATACTTATACACACTGCCAGCACACGCCCATCGGCACACGATGTACAAATCCGCTTCATCGCCAATTCCTTCCCGTGAATGCGAGGGGGGTCTCTGCCAGTTCATGATCGGACGAGCGACGAAATTTGAGGTTGACTCAGGCGTCATAGATTCGTTTGACATTTCGGTGCACATGCTCACCCCGAGAGTTTGTTTGCACTTGCACTGCTGGTACCATCAGGTCCGTATATGTCCGCGTAAGTGACATCATCGGACGGTTATTCTTAGAAAATGATAGGCTGCAAATGCGCCGGTACCGGGACGACGAGCTCGGAGCATTGGCAGCGTCAAAGTGCCCTCGTGCGCAGGTCATTACCCGGTCTACCGAGTGCTGCGTGGGCTGGATGACCATATCCTCCGACATGAACCGCGAGGTCAACGTTGCGGCGACAGCAGAAATCAGACACGGGTGGCTCTCCGAGATGACGTTCTAGCTTCAACGTCCTCTGAATCGCGTGCTTGATGCACTGGCAAGCTCTGCTGGAGGATGACCTGGAGTTTGGAGTCCTCCGAGAAGGATATGTGGCACTTGCGCATGGACGAAGGTTCCCCGACACGATCCGTCTTGTCAAGAATATCCGCTAACCTATCCGACACGTCCAGTTGCATGGCATTGACGGGATTCCAAGGTATGAAATTATACACATGGCCTCGCTGTCTGCCCAACGCCTAAACGTACGCCGTGCCAGCGGTAGGGAATATGCCGCTATAGCCCCAAAGATCCCAGTAGATCTAAAAAATCTCCCCAGGATTGCGGAGCTATCACCATTCCTACTATCCATGCGGCATTCAACCACTTAGCTCGCGGTCACCCCGGCGTCCTCGACGTCACTGAACAACGCCAGACGATCTACTTCTCGTCGGGGCAACTCGTCCACATCAAGTGTTGATACGCCGCCACGGAGTTCCACTTCCAGATCCTTCAGTTGCTGCAGAAATCCATGATTCGGCGACACCTGTGGCCTCGCACAGAGAACGAGTCCCAAAGCCTCCCTGAGGGACATCTCTCTTCGCTTCATGAGATATCCAACGACAACGGTGGGCGAACGGGACACTCCAGCGGAACAGTGTACGAGAATCCGTCCACTGCCCCCTTTGGACTTCAGGGCGTCATCGATGATCTTCGTCGCAGCGTCGATGGTGGATGAGATGGAGGACAAGGCGGAGTCGTTCAGTCCGAGCCTGTGGTAGGTTACATTGTCAACTTTGGGAGACGGGGTGATGCCGATGCTCAGAACATGGTTTATCGAGTTGGAGGAGAGGAAAGGGGCGGAGGACGCAGACGAACAGGGTCCAAGATAGAGCGCAGATGGGATGATTACAGACACTGTATTCGATGACTGTTGCCCCGCCGCCGCTTGTCCTTTTCCTTTGCGCTTGGGCGGCATAATGGCGGGCGAAAGGAGAATCCATCTAACATCGATACAGGACCGTCGATGTCAAGTCCTGAACAAACAAGTACAAGCGGATGCTCAATAGATCAAAGCTTTTCATGCCCACACAGCGAAAATAAATACACAGACAGTCCTCAAGGCCTCAGATCTCAGAGCTCATCACGCGTTGGCTCCTCCTTCCCTTCCGTCTTCAGCTCCTCCACTGGCGATTCCTCTGATTCCGTCGCAGGTTTTTCCGCAGCGGTACCTGCGCTTGAACCGCCCGCGAGCACGTTCGCGTCTGCTGTGGCCATCCTTGAGTGAATTTTGCCTTGCGCAGCGAGGTCTCGAGTGAATCGCGCAATCTCCGCGTCGTACTCCTCCCACTCAGGTATTTGCCGAGCACGTGCGAGCTTAGGCTCTTTCTGTGTAGCAGAAGGAAGGAGAGGCAAAGATAGTTCAGGAGATGATGGATTCGAGGAGGAAGATGGTGACGAACCGTCAGCGGATTCTGGCAAAGATCGATGGTCTTCGCTCTATGGAGCCGGTCTTTGCTACACCAGGTTTCGCACTGCAATGCGAGTCATTAATGAAGAATCCGGGGCAACCTTGAGGTTTAACGTACCCATAGCCAATCCTCAGGCAACGAGAACTGAGGAATCCCATCAGACGATAATTATAAGACGGTCATAGACGGCCTCGCGACTTACGATAGGAACGTGGTTCTGTAAGTTGTTAGGTAAATCTGTGCAACGTCAGATAACGGAATTTCATGAGAGAAGAGTATGTCTAACCTTGGTCAAGGTTGGCTAATGAATTTGGATCAGCAGAGAGTTGGTGGTAGTGTTGTCGTAGGATGTCCTGCAGGTAACCATGAGGGATCGATAGAGGCTATACATCGTGGTTTACTCACTCCTGCGGCGAGCTGGATGGCAACATTAATGAGCTTAACTCTCTTTGCATAATGAAAACTCCGTACCTGTCTGAACCTAACGAGATCGATAACATACAAAGCACTATTTTTTCTCCATCAGCCACCAGAAATAGATCAATATTAATGAACTCGAGACCGACCTGATGTGATATGGCTTCCCTTGCAAAAAGTCTTTCCAGTACCCCGTCTTCCAGAACCTAAAGCCCTCCATGTCCGTATTATCGTCACCCATGGGGGTGTACCCGTACGGAGCCCCGTGGAGATCGAGGTCAACTAGCTCCTTCAGGTCCGCACGCACGATCTGGTCCGCGTCGACGAAAATAACCTTCTTGAGGTCCATAGGGAACAGCACGTCCAGGAACAGGATCTTGTACGCCCAGATGATGCGTTGTTTCTCTGTCTGCGCCCGGAGCCACGAAGGCCACTTGTACGTCACGAGCTCGTACTGGAAATTGTATTGCTCGGCCATGTGGGGGATGAATTCCTGCAGACAGTGAGTCTAAAATGGAATTCATTTCCGTTTTGAGAGGAGGGCTTACCAAGAACGATGGCGAGAGGAAGTTCTCGATGAACCAGAACTTGACGGTGCTATTCGTGTTGCGCAAGACGGAGAGGATCATGATGCCAACGAAACGCTGAAAAACAATGAGCATCAATGCTACGACGACAATAAAAAGAAGCCTACTTCATAGAGGAGGCCAGAAGCCACAGTGAAGATATTGATGTCAGCTTGAGGTTTAATAGCGACGACCTCGGTGGAAAGTTCTTTCTTTGGTGATTTGAAGATCGACATCACCCTAACCACATTCCGTCAATGAAGACCTTTGGAGAAACAAAGATACAACGTACTTCGAGGAAAGGTCATCGAACAACCCTTTCGAACCATCATCCTTAATTTCCTCCCTCAGTACATCAGCAGTCGCCTGCCCAGGCAACCTCGACAACCTCGGATACAACGTCAGCCCCTCAAAACTCGTCACCGTAATCTCATTTCCAGCCTCCTCGACGCTCGGGCTATCCCAACCCTCGTTACCCGCACTATCCAACTTGAAGATCTCCCTCCCTCTCCCAGGCCTGATCTCGAGCTTGAAGACCCCGGGTTTCGCCTTGAACTGGAAGTACCCTAGGTTCGCGACGACTTGGGTGTCGTCGATGGGGTTGCCGTCGCCCGCGGAGAGCTGGAGCTGCACACCACGTGGTGGGCTCTGGTTGACGGCTTCGCGGGCGTGTCCTTCGATGACGATGTAGTCGAGCTCGAAGGTCGCGTCGACGGAGGTGTCTCCGGTGAAGAGGTTTCCGAGCTGAATGTTGTCGAGATCGTACAGGGCCTCTCGGGGTCGGACAAGCCACGACGATGGGACGTCCATGGCGAGGGTATAGATGGGGTCCACTGGGAGGTCTTCGAAGATGGCTTGAGCGGGTATCTCCTGACCTTGCTTATCGAAGGTTAGCGAAGGAAGTAAATTGGATCGGTAGAATTTCTTGAGCGGAATCTGGTTTCAGGTTAAGACAATGCAAATAAGAACTAGAAGAAGAGAAGAACATACATCCGTATACTGAGCAGGGCTGAGATGGACTTCGATGAACGTATCTGGGACGCTTGACAACCACTGAAAACCAGGTTGAGTATCATAACACCATTCGGGCAGCAGAGAAACAGACCTTCAGAAGACTTGACCATTTCTGTGCAGTCTCGCTTAGAGGATCGACCAGGACAGCAATTCGATGAAGTGCCGCTGCATTATTACCCGACTCGAACACCGTGTATTCACGCAGGAGCAAGTCATATCCTCTTGACCTTGGCCTTAGAGGAGCGTCGAAGAGGCCGATCTCGCTTGGATCGGGTTGTTGACTAGATGCCACCACCGAGGTAGCAAGCGAGACGATGTCGGCCGCAACGTATCTGTTTGATGTCAGTTGAAACCCTCAGTGTAGGGAGTGTAGGGAGGGCGAACATACTTGTCTTCAAGAATCACGGCTGTGACTGATTGCAGGGCCTTCAAGACAGGCTCAGTCCGCTTCCGGAACTCATAATCTTCCAAAGCCTTGAAGTCTGCGACGCGGAAATCACCCTCGACAGGTCCAACAACCTGGGTACAAGGTCAGCAAATGGCTCAACAGAGGACAATGGTTCAACTTACACGACCATTAACGACCAGAGCTGACTGGCCAGGAAGAATCTGCAAAGCTCTCGAAATGAGTCGACTCTGCTTGACATAGTCAGAATACTCTTCTGGCTTGATGTCTTTCAGGTCGACGCCATCTGCGAGGATCTCAAATGCGGTCTTCTTCCCGACTGGGATCTGAGGACCATCGAGAGGGGCAGCTGGAGCTTCGCCACCAAGAGCAGAAAGGAAGGTCGCAGGATCAGCCTTGGATAGCAGGCCATGGATGTGCATATGCGCAACAAGCCAGGAAACAGCCGGGCGAGGTTCGTTCGCTGATTTGAGAACGGTCGGATTATGGATGAGTGATATTCGCGTCTTCGACTCTGGTGTCTAAAAGGATAAGAAGTTGAGTTGGATAAACGAATCGGTTTTAGAGTATCCGCCGTACCAGTGAGAAGAGAGCCTCCTTGATCAACTTCAACCCAACTTCGCTGTCCAAATCCGCGATAACGTAGAGACTCTCCGAGACAGTCTCCCAACCAGCTGCAGACGCAAATTTAGGTTAAACAGGAGCCACAGTGAAGCACAAAGCACGTACAAGGGTAGAGATACGTTGGCGGAGAGGCGCGGAATCCTGACTTCACAAACACCTCTGGGAGGTTGACGATCCGCAGACCGCCTGGTGAGGGGTAGATGTACCGGTTCCGTCGCTTGTTGGTCGTCGGAAGGTCATAGAAGTAGTTGCTCATCGACTCGGGTTTGTTGTCATCTGATAAGGAACCTTCGTAAACCTGAAAGCAGAAAGGATATTTATTTGAATTAAAAGGAAACTTTAGACATTGCATACCTTCTCCTGGAACATTCTCATCTGCACTGACATCTCATTTTGAAGATGGGTCAAAAATTCCTAGAAAACTCATCGTTAGCACCACCCGTTAACGGAACCAATCTCCTTTCTTACATCGTTGACATCAAAGTGCTTCCCATTGAAAAACGCGTGACCAGTCGGCGACGAATCCAAGCCACACCCCAAACGCTCTGTGTACTCTGCGATTTTGTCGAACGGCGCCGGAGATGTGAACTCGCCGGAGAGGACAGAAGCAAGCTCTGGGAACTCAACCTCTGGCTTTTCTTGTTGGGTCTTCTCGACAAGGTAGTCCCAGGCAGAGTCGACTTTGTCCCATTGGACGGTCTCGGTTCCTTGCCCGGCTGGTACTTGGACTTGGGATATCTGGCTCGATAGTAAGTGGACGATTCTGGGAAAAGATAAGAAAGAAGACAGACAGCCTTGAAGAATTCTAGCGTTGTCTTGCGGCCGTGGTTCTTAATGAGGTAGTAGAACAGCCTAGCCATCTTCTTACCTATAAATATGAAGGGAATCGGTCTCTGGCAAGCAAGGGAGGGGTCTAACAAAGCACATACCAGCCTCATCATCTCCGAGTGGCACCAAACCGAACCTCAGAGGGAATTCCCTGTTGATGATATTTGACATAGGACCAGCAAGGAAGTTCAAGCTCGACATCTTGGAGAGATCCAGTGTGAGGATGACATTGAACAAATTCGCTTTGATGCTCGGCAGCATGCCCGGATACATAGGACGCAAGATCTGGAAAAAGCCAACTTTGTAAGGCGAAGAATCAAAAGAAGGCAAGTAGATCTAGCGCACCCCATAAATCGATGGATTCCATCGCTTATAACGATTGTCATTCTCCATATCATTCCACCACACGATAACATCCCCTCCTTCCGGCCTGTCGCTCGCATCGAACAGAGTGTCCAACACCGCATTCTCCTTCTGCGCCGCCGCCACGTCAGGATGGGTCAGTAATTCGAAGGCCTGAGCACTGGACAGCCCTTGCGAGGTCAACGACTTCAAGATGTCTTTGTCCTTCTTCAGCAGCCGTAACAGTCCAAACGGATGCACATCCTTCTGGTCGACCTGCAGTCCGTTCAGCCAAAACACGTTGACACCTCGCTGTGCGCGCAGAGAATTATCGTGCAGCTCGTCGATGATACTCTGGTTTGCAACGACGCGTCGTGCGAGCGAAGTCGCGTATTTTGGGAAGTTCTGAGATAGGTGGGTCAAAGTAAGGAGAGGATCGGAAGATTCGGCGATAAGTTGGGCGGCCTGAGCACCCAGCCCATGCAATTCTTCTGCTGTGAGTGGTATGGTAGAATCAGGTGCAGTCATGTTTTCGGGGTGATTCAGGATGAGTGGAAGGACGGGGTCAATGCCCTGCTCTTCGGTTTCCTTCATGTTCGCGGTGTTTGCCCCTTCGGAATGCGAATTTCGGTCATCCAGCGCTAGGTAGTCCATCTTCTTTAGGTCGAGGGCGACCCCAAATCCCGACAGATAATTCCGAGATGAAGACGTTTTTGAAGGCGGAACGTGGCGGAAAATGTATTCGATGTGAGGATCCTGCCGACTGACCAGACTGAGCAAATAGGAATGCAGTTCGCGGAAATTCGCAGACGTCAATGACCCGTATAGAATGGCTGAGCGAAGGGGCCGCTCAATGACATGGTTCGGAGGTGGCGCGATGTGGTCGAATGTCAGGATTTTCGGACGTGGTTGAACTCTACCAAACGCTCAGAATATTTGAGGGACGAAGAAATAAAGCAACATACGGCATGTCTATCGACGCCTCTATAGCCTCAGTTCCTGCCAGCTGCACCAGTCTCTCCACGTCACACACAACCTCACCGTACCAATCCACCCAAGACCCGCATTGGGTCCCGATGCTCTCGTTGTGGTTGTCCACATAATAGTTGTAGAATGCTTCTAGTTTCGGAGTGGCAGCGTGCATGGCAAGGTTCATCTGAACAGCAGCCAAAGATTCTGGTTCTTGTAGCGTGCCATAGTCGACAGCAATCGCTAGGGCGCCTTGGTGTATGGCTTCGGGGGTCGCGGTAGCTGCGGCAGCCAGCAGCTGAGGGTCCGTCAACTGGTCAAGGTAGGTGAAGAATGCTTCTGGATTCTCTAGAGACACGGTTTCTCTGCAACACGATCCGTCAGTCTGTCTCTGAGATAGCTCAAAGGCACACTTACAATATCTCGGCCAAGAATGGTGGTGCTGGCCAACTGGACCTCAACGCGACTTTGACAGGTGGCGACTGGCCTGCAACCTGGAGCGTCGTAAACGCTGCACTAAGCAACGCGTACGCTCGTTTCATGGCGGTCTTTTGGAGATATTCAAGCTCGAGGTTGCATTAGGTATCAGTCTACGTGGGCTTGTTACCGGAGAAATTCCTGACCACGTCAACCGTTCCGTTATCAGATAAGATAGCCCCGAACGTCGCTGATGGAGATGTGAAGCTGCCAAGAAAGATAGAGGAACCCCGAGGATCGAAGGCAAGAATTGGACCCGGCGCGACGATATGGTACAAGGAAAGAATATACGGCAAGTATTATCGTGTGACATAACGTGCAGTGAGGCGACAGCCCTAAGCTTAAACCTCGGATCCGAGTCTAACCATCGTGCATATGCTGTCGATTTCTTGTGAGAAGAGTGAGAGGCGTAGGTCGTCATGAGGGGTCAGGCCAGGTTCCGGCCCACGATCGAGTCAACTTCCGACTTCGACCAGCCTCATCACCCACTCTTTTCTGTCTCAGCCTGGTTTCCAATGGTGTCCTCACTGATGCCTACTGATACTTCTTGGACGCGTATACGCGGCGTGCATGTTTCGGAGGCCGACATTTGGATGTTTGACAACGCTACCTGGATGGATTTACCTGAGGATGAAGGAGTCCCGGCTTCAATACCTGGAGATGACAGGGCGACGTACGACTTCCGGCTTGCTGCTTTGGTCACACGGACGAGGCTGGGAACTCCTTCATCGAGATGCTTAATTGTGTCCGCAGAAACCCTCGTGCTAGATGTGACTACTCTGGAAGAAGGAATAAAAGGTCAAAAGCCGACGTATATTGGAGGTTTCCCTAAACGAGAGGCGGCGCCTGCTGGATGATGCCGCCGTTCCTCTCGAACATGCAGCCCAGGATGGACGAGTGTGGAGGATCAGGATAAATTGGTCGTTCTTTTTCAGGTCTCCATTGCTGCCTTCCCAGAAGGCGTCATGATCGCCATTGTCTATTCACATTCGTTCGAACCCTGGCTCAATTCTAGCTTCTCGGTACTTCTTCACTAATCACTGTGCACATGAATTACTTTCCTCACGCGCTGCGTCGGTGTCCATCGTCACGGTACCCACGCTTCGCCGGACAAAAGAAACACTCTATCGGGATTCCTCTTCCCTCCGCGCTTTCTGGGGAACGGTCACCGAAATGCTGAGTTTTGTCTCCTCTGACATGTACTCTGGCACCGCACCCTAGAATTCTTGTCTGTCATATTCGCTGAGTTGCGCCACACTGATTACTTTCTCACCCAGTGACTCAATACCCTGACGAAGGGACTATTTTTCTCTCGACTTAGCCCATGGCGCCCGCTGTTCGATCTATTGACAATAGCAACGCAACAATTGACGTACAAGTCCCGCGTTCGCGGTCCGGCGACGCATGACGTATGGGCTTCAAAACAATAGCCTCTTCAGGAACTTCATTCCAAATTAGGAAATCCTCTTCTTTTTGTTTCCCCTGGCCTGTGCTGTGGGGGTGGAAACAGATAAATAGCAACGGGTGAGAGAACTATTCCCCCAGCAAAGTTATCTTCGCTGACTCCGACATGGACGCCTTCTACACCTTCTTCACCACCACCGTCGCCGAAACCTCCCCTTCGGGCGAGACGGTTGACTTCGAGAAGGCAGGCAGTGGAAGCAACGCGTACTGCGTCGTCGCTTAGGCGTATAGCCAGGCAACCTCCGCCACAATAACATATATTCTGTACGTCTTTTCTCGAGCACGCAAAAGCCTAGCTCGCCGTTTCTGACTTCCACCCCAGTATATCGGCACGGCATTCGTACACGGGACTCGCGTCACCTACACCTATTACCCACATGCATTATTTATTCCACCCTCCCAACGTTCGCATTGTTCTTGGGCATTTCATCATCACCATTCGCCCTTCATTCGCATCGCATACACCCCACTTCGTTCAACCTACTCTGTCCCTCCTGAATGCAGAGCCATTTTTAACCAGTCGTATGACTTTAACATATTGACCACGGATGCATCGTACCTTCGTCCCGCACGTAGTCCATAGTTCGTGTTCGCTCTCGAAGTCAAGATGTAATGGATATCCTGTGTTGCATTTATAAGGTTTGAGATCCTGAGGAAGATAAGGCAAGAGTCAAGACCGCGCCTTCGATAGCGATGGAAACAGCAGCTTTGAAGAGATATGATATTGAATGTAACTGGGCACAGAGAATAAATTCATAATGGCCTACCCGTTATCAAGTTCAAGTCGGAGACCTCTTCTGAGCTACGACTCTGAGCGAGCCCAACGCGACCTTGAAACTTAGAATAAGTAGTCGGTCGGCAGTTCGAATTATCGGACCAAAATAGGATTATATCCTTTTGGACACGTTACAGCCTATTCTTCGCGATGCGCTGATAGACGCCTTGAACTTGCATGCAGATATATATGGATCGCTGCTTCACGCACATCGTCTAGCAACATGTCCTCAAAAACTCCCAAGGTGACCACCGCTTCCGACATTGTCAAGTACTTCTGCATCGAAGACGCCGAAGTTAAACTTATAACCGACGTCGTACCAACTCTCAATGACGCAGGGATGCGGGCTGTGGCGTGGAGATTTCGCATGGGATTCGGGCGCGCGGGGAGGCGTTCGGCCATCCTCATCATGGTCATATACATGGAGTGTTTGAATATGGAGCAGCTTTTGGCTGTTACACTCAGTAGGTTCCACCCCGAGTTTATTGAAGAGGAGGAAGAATTGGAAGCAGCTGCTGAAGCTCTTGGTAGACAAGGGGGCGGTTTTTTGAAGGATCCTTTTGGCGATTTGTTTAGACTCTCAATTCTATCCAGTAGTATTAACCGTCGCCCCGACATTTACGCAGGACACCCCATATAAGGACGGACGCCCAAATCGTGACAGTGTTTCAGTTCGAGAATGCAGTCCTCATGTAAATATTGTGCCTAGACGATGCCCTCGCTGACGTTGTCCCAGAGTTATCAAATCAGGTCCGCGCAGGAATGGATAGAGTAATTGCGAGATCGAAGGATAATATTTGGGCGTTGAAGGATCCGACTGCTCGCCTGGGGATACCAAGGGGATACCTATGTTATTGGTCGCTGCCCCAGAATTAGGCCTGATTCTTTTGACGCCCTCAGGCCATGGCTGCCACTTTGCCATCTTGGAACTCAGACTGGAAGGGGGATTTGAGGTGGGCCTTCAATATGTGAGTACGGTGTGTCATAGAAAAATGGAAAAATAGTGCTTGGTCGGCAGCACGCTGGCCAGATTTCCGATACTTGGAACTTGAATGCGTGACTTACCGGCCGTTTTGTCCTCTCTCGATTTCCTTACACAGGAAGCTTCGAACTCATGGCACAAGATATTTTTGCTGGGTCATTGTTCATCAACGATTAGCCGCTCTCGCTTGCTGTTTCACCGAATCGGCCTATGGTTCCCGCATTTCGATCGCTCTTGAGACGCCTTAACTTCACTTGGCACGGCACTAATCATTTTCCAAAAAGTTTTATTGCTCGTCTCCTAACTGTTTTCTCTGGTCGGCCCCGTTGAATGGGCGTCTCTGACACAGAATGCTCTTCAAGGGGCCGCGGAATCATCGTTTTCCTGTCAAGACAACCCACTGTATTACTTGACACTTAGGCCGTGGCGCATTGATGCCGTTTCAAGTAGCGCCCAGCCTGACTTGGTCTCCCATAAGTTGGTCGGGAAAAGCCGGATGAGTTACGTAAGAAGAAAATCTCGGTTCTGCCCGAGCCTATGGGCGCTTAACCTCCTTCGAAAGTCGGGACTCCATAAATCGCAGTCTGGAGGACATTTACTTCGTATTTCCACCGCCCCGAAAGGTGTCGAATCAGCTGGTGACTCGACTTCTGCTTACTCTGTCGGCCATTTGGAAGTGACCTTGTCGAGAGGTTAGTATTCTCTGCAATACCGTTAGTCAACCACTAGAGAACCTTCTGTCAGTGGTTGGAATAGAAGGAAGTACGTATTAATTGCAACTAGCATACCATCTGATTCATGGTAAAGGATGTGGACCTATAATGGCGTTACAAGAGGTTCGAGACTGGTCACCTTTCCCATCGTGGCAAATTGAAAAAGAGCAGAGTTCCGGTTGCTGGGCATCAAAGGTAGGCAATGGATAAATACTTGAGAGGTGAATACGCAACCCTCCAAGCAATTTCTCCTCGTTGAACGCTGCATGTACACATTCTACGCAACCACTGCCAGTGTCACCGACACCTCTCCTCCAGGCTCCGGACAAGACGACCGACTCCGAGAGGCTCAATTTCAGTACCAGCTTTTACTGCGTTGTCGCTTAGGCCCATCACCAGGCGACCTCTGCAGGCGTATTGTCTTACTTTGTGAGTTCACGTGGACCCATATCAGTATCACAATGCATACATACCCCGCCAAACACGATGCCCTCGCACCATTACAATCCGTGTTCATTGACATTTGCATCCACAGCAGCTTCTTCGTTCTTTTCTTCCTTATTATGACATTTCTTACCATTTCTCTATTAAATTATACCCATCATATCTTCGTTCCTAAAGTAGCAGCCCATGGTTCTAGTTGCTACTTGGAGGTGCAATAGATATTCGGCACCGTATCTATCTCTTATTAGCAGTCCAAAAATTAGTCCGACGTTGGAACGATCTTGATCGAAGTCGCCGACGGTGCAAGGTTATTGTAGCTTGGGCAAAGTTTGTTCCATGCGGCTGTTACAGCACGTCAGTCTGAGAGTTGCCTATGTGATACGGAATAACACACTGGGGACTGAGGAGGCACTTGCGGTGTCTGGGTCGACAACGAACACGATGGCCATCCCCCTACAAAACTTGAGGATCAGTCATGCACAGAATATGAGAGAAAAGAACGCACATCTGGACATGAAAATCGATATGGCTGTAGTATGATTGGGTTAGCGCACCGTTGACAGAAAGGATAAATACTCACCAATGGAACATCCAAGGGCCAGGATTGTCCGTTACAAATCGAATGGTCGTATTGCTTCCAGCCTCACCAATGCTAGCGACGTCGCGAATGACAGGATTCAAGTAGTTGTGTTTGGTATGATTTCCAGCACTCTTGATGACATAGAAGGAATGCTTCGCCGAAGGATTAGCAAAATAAAGGCGTACGAGGCAGCGAATACACGTACACCGTGGAGATGGAAAGGATGCTGAACAACAGAGGAGAATATCAGACTCACAAGGACGACGAAGAGAAGGGGAAAATCCTCACTGCTCCCCCAATGATGCCACCCGGAATGCTAATCTCGATGACCTTATTCTTCGGGAGAGTCACCACAACTCCTTCGGGCAGCAAATCCTTCGCCGATCGCGCTCCACTCATGATCTGCAGAAGTACCGGTACGGGTGGGTCAACATAGTACCCCCCATTTACGGTGTACGAGAACTTGTCCGGGTCGAAACCCAGCGCGAGGTTGATGTTAACGTCCGCGCCGCCAACAAAGGGACGCCCTTGTACTCGAGTTAGGAAGAGGGGGTGTAGGTTGGCCTCTTTGAGGAAGACGGGCCTCGAAGGTGGGTAAAACTTGGTCTGGGAAGGCTCGACACGTGGGGCACCTTTGTATCGCAGGATGGCGGAGTTGAGACCGCCATCGAACCCTTGGTCGAGTCCGTTTTTGCCAGAGTCGGGAAGCGAGCGAATCCAATAGTTATCGACGGGTCGATTTGCATTCAGGACAAAGGAGTATCGCTGTCCTGTGATATAAAGTTAAATAAAAAGACAGGGGTTCATTAAAAATGGGAATAATTACCTGCGAAGATCTGTAAGCTATCCACGGTTACGGGCTGGACATTCTCCCCATCAGCCTCGATAATTTTCAACTTGTGGCCGTCGATGGAAAAGATGTAGTTCGGCTCGCAGGATAGTGATAGCAGGCGGAACCTGTACCGTCGCCCTTTCTTGACGTCGATGACAGCAAGGTCGACTTTTGGACCACCACCATATCTTCCTTTCCCATTTATCAGAGTCGATTCGGCAATGACTCGCGGGATGAGAGACGGTGCTGGGTAATGATACCTGCAAAATGTTATGTCTGAAATGAAACGCATAGAAGAAGTAGATTTGCCAGTCGCTCAGCGTGATGACCGTCGATTCTAGGGCACATCAGACCTTATTCCCAAGAAAAGGACTCGTCCTTACCATCGTCAACTGATCAGTGGAGCACTGTTAGCCAAAGAACAGTTGGAAAGAGCTAAGGCGAACCCACCATCGTACAATAGCCGGTGGGGGTCCTTAGGGTCGTATACGACCAAGGGACCCCGAAGGCCGTCACAATATTGAGTCCCTTCACTGTGTGAGCCGAAATGAAAAGAAAGAAGAATACGGCGCATACCAAAATGTGAGTGGTACCAGAACGTACCGGCCTGTTTAGGCGCCGAGAATTCATATAAGAAGGAATTGTTGGGCGAAATAGGGCATTGAGTGATGGCCGCAGCACCGTCGGCCCATGCGGATCCACGTTGAAAGATGCCGTGCCAATGCTACATACACATTGAAAAGTATCAATCAAGGTGTGAGGTCGTTAGACAGTTTACGCCGACGCACGATGCTTGTGCTCCTCAACATGGTATTGTCGGTGAGGGAATTGACAACGTTTATGCGGAACCTGTCTCCCTGCCGCCAAAGTGCGAGTGTCAGACATGGGGAAACAACACTCCAAAGTGAGAGGAGCCACCGCCACACCTTTCCCCCTGTAATCAGTGGACCGGGATAGACTCCATTTGCAAGAACAGTACTGTGAGAGCAAGCATCCGTTATGCTTCGCAATGTTGAACGAGGAGAAAATGTAGTCACGATCGTTTGTACCCGTCTGGCGCGACGACTTTGTTGACAATCTTGAGCTCGCCGGTCAGCTCAAGAGTCTTCGAGTTGTAAGTAGAGGCGGCGATGTGCAGGAGGGAGAGTAGTGTAAGGATAGGCAGTAGAGACCGTGCCATCCTTCAAACCTTGGAAGAGGCTGAGTTGGACTTGGGGCGTCGGGGGTGACCCATCTCTTTATAACGAGCGCTGGATGATCGACCCTGGAAATCTGGTTGACGTGTTTCATCATAGAAGTTGGCCCACAATCTACACTAAAGCATGTGTCCTTGCCTTGCTGTTTCGTCATGGCGCAAAGAGCATGAAAGCAACAGCTTGAAGCTGGATGAACGAGAGCGTGTCCAGACGATGGGCTCCATCCTCGAAAATTTGACGACCTTGACAGAGAGTAAAATCGAAGCCCAGATCGCGGTGTTTTGCACTAGTAGCGCAACCGAGAGAGTAGCGTGCCGTCCCGCTATCCCAGGCTAAGGACAGATGCATCACTGGATCCCTGAAGGCCTGACGAATGTCCTTGAGCCTAGCCACGATGTCGAACGGCGTTATCAAGGCTTCACCCACATATACGGTCTTGAATCCAGCGCTGAGCGGCATACAACGTCTTTTACATCCATGCATCAGAATATTTGACAGATGTTGGGTAGGGCCATGACACCGTCCCTTACAAAATCGCCCACATCAAAGCCAGCGGCGCTCTGTCCATCCTGAAGTTCCTGCTTATGTCTCTCGGATGATGCGGACGAGACGGAGAAAAGACCTAGCAGACACAAGAGCATGGACGCTCGGGACCGACGGTGATAATGAGGACGAGTGTTAGCGCCAAAAAGGCTTCGGAAGATGGCGGGCATTGAATTCGGAGTCGCGGATCTAATATAATCATGCGGAAAGGCCTCAAGGTATTGATAACTACCAGCTACCGACAATACACGCGGCACAATTGTATAATATCATCGCCTATCTCGTCTCGGAGATCCTGCAGCTACAAGTCCTCTCGAGAAGCACTGGCGCGAATCAGCGATTCCACTTCCTTCGAACGAGGGGTAATGGAACACTGGAATGGTTTCCACCCACTATTTTTCATTTTTTTCATCTTCAGGAAAGTTCAGTCACAGAAGGGATGGGCACCCACCACACCAGGCCGGAGATACACTCAGTGTTGGGTTCTATCACGCTCCCGTGAGCATCGGTCGATTTCTTGATGTCGAAAGCTGCAATAATGGACGCGACGTTGATCCAAACAGAAGAGAACGCTATATATCGGCCAGGACAGATGCTGAAGAGTGATTAATATCGCTTCAATGGTTCGAAATCATAGGAGAGATGCCTACCGTCTTCCAAAGCCCCAACATGCGAATCTCGTGGTTCAACTCCCCGTCTCTCATAAACCGATCAGGATTGAACGTGGAAGGATCAAGATAGACTTTCTCGTCATTGAGCATCGCCCTAGGAGGTGACAGAATGTCAGAGCGCCCGTCAAAATGGATCGCCAATTATATACCATGAGTTCCCCATGACGATCGTCCCAGCTGGGAGTCGATAACCTTTGTATTCGTCTTCAACTTCCAGGAGATGGGGGATAGCTAATGCCGACAAATCACATGAGCGTCTTTACTTCGCACCAAGCAAGTCGATACTCACCCGTAGGCACTACGGCGAACCACCGAAGGCTCTCTTTTACGATAGCCGTAATATACGGCAAGGATGGCTCGTCTTCGAACTCCGGAAGGTGGCCGGGCCTGACAACGCGATCTATTTCAATCTGAGCTTTTTGCAGAACGTCCGGCCTGTCCAAGAGTCCGAGTATACATGATGCTAACGTGGCGACTGTCTGAAGTATTCATTTATTCAGCGGCTTTCTATCGGAGAGTGCGAGATGATTTACCGTATCTGTGCCAGCTATAGTTGTCATAATTATAAATGGGCGTTCCCTAAGCAGGTCTTCAGAACATATGGAAGAGGTGTATTTACCGGTATAGACGGTTCCTGCGCCATCCTGAACGTCATCCTCCGTAATCCAGCCCTCTTCCTCGCTCGCTCGCATGAAACCCAGTCCTATCGTCAAGAACGAAGGTCCGGAGTGTTCCATCCCAGCGTCCTAATAAAATATTATCGGATACTCCGAAATAGGCAAATCACTTACCATATCGCGCATCGCGGCTTTGTACGGGTTCTCGACCATCATACGTGTCAATTTATGCCACTCCCTTGCCTTCCTCTTGAACCCGGCGCCCGGAAGAAATTTGGGGATGTACTTCAACCAGGGGAAGCTGTCGACGAGGAAGGCGCCTGGAACGACGGCGTCGAGGGTGCGTAGGCTCCTTTCTGCAGTCTCGATGTAAGGATCGTTCTTCGGGAGAGCATTGATACCGTAGGTAATGGACATGATCGTCTCGCCGGCCATGCTAGGCGTGATCGGTCATGGAAAGATGAAGTACACATGGACGAGACGAACTGTCTTATGTTTGCGATGATGTCATCTGGATAATCGAGAATTCTGTTGAGTAGGTTCCTACTGGCGCACAGGAAATCTGGTTTGAATTGGGCGAATGAGGTGGAGTGGAAGGCCGAGTGCATAAGTTTTCGGTGTTTTCGCCTGTAAGTCCCCTCGTAAGCGAGCTGGAAATAACGATAGTGCAGCAAACCCTACCATTTCTCTCCTGTTGCCTTTCGTTAGCAAAAGGAGGAGGTACTAGCACTTGCTTTAAATAAGACATACCGTAAGGCAGTAACCCAGTACTGAACTCCCATCCAATCAACTCGCCAGCCATGATTTGCTGTGGTCTGCGAAAGTAATTATCGTCAGCTTATCAGTAGCGTAGACAAGAGTGTGGCACACCTTCCCGAGTAGATGGACGAGCGCTTCTCGAGTAAGTCAGAGGCAGCCTCGTATGTATCCAGCACAACAACATTTGTGCCTGCGAGGTTGAGGTAAAGGATATCCGTGTCTAGGGTATTCAGGATTAATATGCGTCGATTGATATGAGGGATGGACCTACTGAGTTCCTTGCACCATTTGTGGTACGTTTCCCACTCAAATTTGTCGGGGAGGTTCCAGAGGTTTCCCACCAATGGAAGGCGCTTGGGACCGGGTGGTAGAGGAAGGCGAGAATAGGGCCCCTTGCCACGAACTTTCTTGTAGATACAGTACACCAATCCCAATATGAGTGGCGATAGGAAGGTTGCGTTTAGAGGTGTCATATTCGCTTGGAGAGATGAACCAAATTAGCTGGAAAGGATAACCCGGACCTCATTCAATAACTCACATCTGAACTGGCCTATCAAACAGGTACTCCACGACGGGTGGCAGACGAAAGAATGACGACCATGCGAGATATTGCAGACGGTTTAATACCTCTCTGGACTGGCGGCCCAAAACCGCAAAAAGGAAAGTTGTCCCTCCCAGTTGTACTCGAATCTAGCTTCAGCACCCGAATGGAGCCTTGCCACAGCACTACAATTAGGGGGTGTCATGTTCGGCCCAATCGGGTTGTGAGTCCCGACGCGAGTCCCATTATGAGTCCTAACTTGGTTCCCAACTTTCTCAAAGTTGAAACCGAAGTGGCTATAGATCGGGCAACAATTCCCCGTCGTAGACCCCTGAGGCGGGAATCCTCGCACCGCTCTTCCGCGAGAAAATTCCAGACTTCCACTGAAACCAGCTCCTTCTATCATCTCCCAAATTTTGCAGATTTTTAGGGAATGGACATGGCCCGCAGACTGAGAAGTCGGACACCGGGTTGGAGACTGTAAGATCGACACCCAAAACGCCGGGTCCCAACTTGGCTCGCCAACTTTGAGGACGACCTAGGAGTCACAGCTGGGTCCCGGTATTATGTAAAGGCCAAGGATGTGAAACGTGGATTGGACGCCACCATGCTGCAGCGATGAAGGTTGGTGGCTGTCCTTTTCGATGGCCCCATGCTAACGTTATCCCAGAGGCGCAGACTAGGTACATCGGTTTTCGAAGCTAATGTGTTTTGAGACTAAAGGAGACTGGGAAGTGCGCGTTAGAGTCAAAGTTGCACAGGGGTAGAGGACTCTGAGCCTGCGCTTGGATGAACCCGAGCGTGGAGCTGGACTTGCATGAGGTTGAGGTTAGCACCAAAGATCTTCGGAAGAGTGCCAATAGTAGTTGATCCAGGGCCATATGTAGAATTTCTAATACGCCCAAGTCAGCAAAAAATCCTGCATTGGCGCTACTGTACGATACACATGCCACAATTCGATAATGATATCTCTCAACATGCTTTATGGATACTGCTAGAAGTCTTCTCTGGCGGCGTTGGAGCGGATCAGCAATTCCATTTCCCTTGAACGAGGCGTGATGGAGCATTGAAACGGCCTCCATCCGCTATTAATTCAAGGTCAGGAAGGTTTCAATAAGAGAAGGGTTGGATACCTACCATACTAGACCAGAGACAAACTCCGTGTTGGGCTCTATCACGTTCCCATAGGTGTCGGTCGCTTTCTTGATATCAAAAGCCGCAATCATGGACGCGACATTGATCCAAACAGAAGAGAACGCGAGATATCGGCCAGGACAGACGCTAGAGAACGGTGAATATCATTTCAGGATAATAGGTACAGATACTTACCGTCTTCCAAAGCCCCAACACGCATGGGCGGGATCACGAATGTCCGGATTCAACTTTCCACCTTTCATAAATCGATCGGGATTGAACGTGGAAGGATCAGGATAGACTTTTTCGTCATTGAGCATCGCCCTAAAAAGTGGCAGATCAGCAGAGCGCCCGTGAAAACGTAACGCCAATTCTATACCATGAATTCCCCATGACAATTGACCCAGCTGGGAGTCGATAACCCTTGTATTCGTCTTCAACTTCCAGCAGGTGAGGAATAGCTAATGCCGACACAAAATGACTGCCTGTACTTCGGAACAAGCATGTTGATACTTACCTGTGGGCGCTACCGCGAACCACCGCAGGCTCTCTTTCACTATAGCCGTGACATAGGGCAGGGATGGCTCGTCTTCGAACTCTGGGAGGTGTCCCGGTTTGATAACACTGTCTATTTCGGTCTGAGCTTTCTCTAGAACATCCGGCCTGGACAAGAGGCCGAGTATGCATGATGCTATTGTGGCGACTGTCTAGATTATTCACTGATTCAGTGGGTATCTATCAGAGACTGCGGGATGGCTTACCGTGTCTGAGCCAGCTGTACGCAGTCACGACAAATTTGCCCATTATCAATGGACGCTTCTCTTGGTAGAACTTGAGAATAGAGGACTCTTACCTGCATAGATGGCACCTGCGCTGTCCTGAATCACATTCTCTGTGATCGCGCCTCCTTTCTCATTCGCTCGCATAGCCTCCAATCCTATGGTCAAGAACGAAGGTTCAGAGCGACCTACCCCAGCGTCCTGATATAATGTCAAATCAAATATCCCTGAACAGTCGATTCGCTTACCATATTGCGCATTGCAGCTTCGTACGGATTCTCGACCATCATGCGCGCTAATTTATGCCACTCTCTCGCCTTCCTCTTGAACCCGGCTCCTGGGAGGAACTCGGGTAGATACTTCAGCCAGGGGAGGCTGTCGACAAGGAAGGCGCCTGGGACGGCGGCGTCGAGGACCGCCCGAAGGCTCTTTTCCGCCGTCTCGATGTAGGGATCGTTCTTCGGGAGGACGTCGATGCCGTAGGTGACGGACATTATTGTTTCACCCGCCATGCTGTTGACCTAGGGTTAGCCGTCTGAAAAGGGAGTGGATATAGGAAGGACATACTGTCTGATATTTGCGACGATGCTGTCTGGATAATCAAGTATCCTGTTGAGTAAGTTACGACTGGCCCGCAGGGAATTTGGTTTGAATTGGGCGGATGCAGTAGGATGGAAGGTAAGGTGCATTAGTTTTCGGTGTTTTCGCCTACACGCCCCATTGAACCCTGGCTGGACGATAGTATTGCTCAAAGACACACCACTTCTCTCCTGTCGCCATTAATCAGTGAATGACCTACTTGACTTGTTCTTCCAACACGCACCGTAAGGCATGAAACCAGGACTAAACTCCCATCCCATCAGTTCGTTGGCCATAGTTTGTTGTGGTCTTTTGAAAATTTGTTATCAAAGCCGTACGCGACACAAAAGTTGAGAGAAGAAGACGTACCTTCCTGAGTAGATTGACGAGCGCTTCTCGAGCAAATCGTAGGCAGCTTCATATGTATCCAGAACAACAACATTTGTGCCTGCGAAGTTGAGGTAAAGAATATCCGTGTCTAAGGTTTCCAGGATCAGTATGCGTCGTATATTCTGTTAAATGGACCTACTGAGCTCCGCGCACCATTTGTGGTACGTCTCCCACTCGAATTTCCTCGGCAGGTCCAAGATATTTCCAATCAATGGGAGCCGCTTCGGGCCAGGCGGGAGAGGAAGATGGGAATAGGGCCCATTGTTACGAACTTTGGTATAGATATAGTACACCAGTCCCAAAACAAGCGCAGATGAGAAGCTCGCGTTTAGCGATATCATATTCACCTGGCGAGTTAGAATAAGTCAGTTGAGAAAGAGTAGCGAGGGGCCTCCCAAGACAACTTACGTTTATGGCGGCCTATAAAACAAGGGTTCTGCTATTGGAGCAGGAAACAATGGAAACCTTGCAAGGTAACGGAGGTTAAATACGACTCTGGACGGGCGACCAACACCCGCAATAAGGCCTGCTCCTCTGCGTTTACGCCCCAGCCTTGGGACCGCAATGAAGTATTGTCCCTTTACCAAGAACCGCTGCGCATCATCTGTGAACCCGGACGGAAAGGTCATGAGAAAGCATCAATAGAAGAACCAGTTGAATCCATTACCATTACATACCCCTCCAACTTGAATTGGGAGACAACTCGCGGCGAGAGTGTCGCCCCATGAGTCTTGTGATGAATAATCGGGTGCTGCCCAGGTTCCAATCTCCTTCAAGTTGACAAATGTGACAGATAGAAGCTTCACAGTTGGACGATCCTGCGACTCCGCATCGGCGAATTTCAGGAGACCGAGGGGTATCCTGGAGGCCTTCATGTCGTTGACTGGCCCGAAGCACAGTGTCCAAGATGAGCATAGGTCCATGTGGTTCAGGTGGGCTGGAAATGGAATAAAGGATTAGAGGGGCCTTGCGAGTCGAAGTCGGCTGGTCTATGACCCAGATATGACGAATTCGATCCAGTGAATAACCTCCGTTTCGAGCTTGGTTCAATGGAGGGTATTTAAAGGCCAAGGATACTAGATTGGGAGCCTATCTTCATAATCGCTAGTACGATTCGGTAAACAGGCGGAAGGAACGGTAAGCAGACAGTCTGGGACCATCTACGAAGTTGATAATCGCAAAGCAACCACGGGTAACAAACCCCGGCACCATCAAGACTTCTGGAGACAGTGCAGTCAGCGTCTCAGGAAGATAATCACGTCCAGCTCTCGTGGCGATGACAGCAGAGCACGAGACTACCTCAAGTCGACCTTGCCAACTTCTTTATCGAAGCAAGCACTGGATGATCTACTGGAGTGGAACGCGTTACAAATATCGTCCGCAGTGAACGGCGGATGAAAACGCACTAATGAACCCCACTGTGGTGAATTCAACTCGAGAGACAGAGTCGTTCCTTAATTGACTCCTTGAGTGCCTTGTTAATGGGTCGGTATCTCTCCCGAGCCGATGATATCAAAACCGCTGTTTTTGCTACGGTGATAAAGAAGATATACAAGGGTTGAACGTCGTCTCTGTTGGAGAGAGGCGGAGGCCAATGGGAGCTCTCGGAAGCGGCCGGCTTAGAACTCCTGTAGATAAGATAAGATCAAACATGGACGTCTGGAGGTTGGGTATAGATGTCCGAGAATACATAGGGGTTCTTCTCCTGTGAATACTTCAGTGCCTTCCGTCTTTATTTGTTATCTTAACTTCCGTCCACTTTGCCTTGCTATCTGGAACCTTTTGTGCATCGTTTTAACACCTTCCACTTCGATCCACTGTAACCTCAAACATCTCCCGCTGCCTTTGTCTCCTGCACGCTGATCCGTGGATTCTGGAGCATAGAGGAATGGATGATAGAGAGGTCATAGTTGTTGCCTCATTCATAAATGTCAGCATGCCGTTACTCTTCGTCGCCAACGAGCTCGCTGCTGAATACAGCCTTGCAGGTTACGGAGAGCGAGGCAGATTCGGTAGCCCCAAGGTGAGACGGCATTTCCTCTCCCCCTCGCTGAATAGTTTGTGGCAGGACCTCCTAAGCCATTCACCGCAGTATTCCGCTTTCCGTCACCGCTGACATTCAGAGAGCCTCTTCCCGTCTTTCCGCATTCACGCCATAGACCTTCGATGGCCTATCAGCCTATTAGATGAGTTTCTTCATGTGTACCTGCACGATGGCTTACCACTTTGAAGGAAGTAAGTACGAATTGATGGCGTACGAGAAGTCAACGTGCGCCTCCTCTCGTCATCGACTTGTGCCCTATTTATCTGCCTCCTGTATGTTGGTGACCGGAACTCGTCCCCAGTGCTCGGACACTCATTCCTTTCGGTTGCTACATTCAGCGGTCAAGTAGTACCTGAGCCACTGTCGCCTTTGCCGTCGTACCCTAGCAGTTTGACTATACATACTGTAGTCTCCAACACGTTAATAAACTGGTTTCACAATAATTATGGGCTCCTTTAAAGGATACATCTAATGGCTTTTGTACTTGTGGGTGCCAAAAGTAACTGTGATTATGTAATCACATGCTCCAATCAAAGGCGGGGCATCCCAAAGATGTGAAGCACACTTCAATTCAGGTGCTTGAATCACCCCGAGAAAAGGCATAGTAGATTAGTCCTGTTCAGTATCTATGTATTCTACACATTAAAATGGTATGTGGCTGCCCCGCGCTTCCAGGAGAGCCGCTACTCGGTCAGGCATCTCAGAAATGTGTTTATTGACGCACTCGATCGGTATCTGCTCCCAGGCTTCGATAACAGCCAAACGGAGTTCTTCTACGGATGTGGGATGATGTGGCCTTCTTCGTATAATTTGCTTGAGTTCGTGCCAAATAGGCTCAATTGGGGAGAGGTCCGGAGAGTTGGGAGGGTGATAGAGCTGTGTGATGCCATGATGAGTGAGCCATCGTTTCGTTAGTTTGCTGGTATGTGCTGGTGCATTGTCCTGCTGGAAAATTACCTGGCCTCTCTCGGTCCTCATCTCTCTATAGAAGCCCCTCAGAGCCCCCTCCAGCACTTGCTCGCAATACCGGGCAGTGTTCATTCCTCCACCTTTGCCTCCTGGGTACTCCAACACAACAAGCGGCCCTTTTTGACCCTCCATTACGCAACCCCACACCATTACTCTCACTGGCGACTGCTTGAAGGTCGCAACAAGGCATTCATCGAGGTATTTTTCATCCGCGCGCCGTGTGATGTAAACGCGTCCATGATTGTCGCCGAGATAAATATAGCATTCGTCGGTCCACATGATCTTCCTCCAATGGCGGGGCGTGAAGTCACAATAGAGGTGAGCCCATGTGAGTCGTGCACGCTTATGAACCTTCTTCAGGTAGGGAACCTTGCGCGCTACCCGGCGGAAGTATCCTGCGTTGCGCAGAACCCTTCGAACAGTTGACCCCGAGACTGGTGATGGGAGTTGGTTTCCGATGTTGGTAAAAGGTGTTCTCCGCTCCCTTCGGGCAATGCGTATGATATGACGCTCCGCAGTATCGTCAAGCTTGTGTGGACGTCCCGACCGGGGGAGATTCTCTGTCGAACCCGTTGTCTTGTACTTTTTCCAGATGTACCGTGCTGCGCTGTCATGGATGTGGAAAACCCGGGCCGCTTTGGCGACTGTTGTACCCGTGAGCACGGCTCCGATGAACTTGTCTTTTATGGACGATGGATACTGGCGTCGTTCTGTCTTTGGTTCAGGCATGATGAGGGAAGAGCGATGAGGACCGCGGAGGAGGGACGTTCAACAAATGATCGGGTCAGATCACATGGGTCGTGTTTATTATATAATCGTAGTTACTTTTGTCACACGTGAGTATGCGCTTCGAAGAGTTATTCATGTCTTTCCCTGACTTCCGGAAGACTTACGATACTTTGAAAGGCATAGAGTCTTTCGTGTCTCTCCCGTCTTTTGGTCTTTTGAAAGACCTCGAAAGACGTCCTGGACTTGGCTGCGCCTTTCCCTGTGGTTTCGAAGCTTTTAAATTATTTCCATCGTCCATTGTATAATTAAACAACAGAAAAAGGTGGGATTTTCAAGCTGATATTCTACGCAAATTCTCTTCACCTTTTCGAGTGTGGACCGTCCATCGGCGTCGAACAACCTTCCAGCAGTGACGGCCACACGGTACTGTACGCGGCCCGGAAGCCCAGAGTCCATATCAAGAAGGTTGTTCTCACGCACGACTTTTTTGCCGTGCCTCCTGACCGCTTACTCTGGCTCATCAAGCCATTTTCCTCTCTACCATGATGGAATTTGTTCCAGGACCGGCGGTGCACCGTGTATTGTGCGCAGATTGCGGTAGGTTACAGTCTGTTTACTTTTTGTAGAATGTACTCAAGAGACGAGTAGGCACACCCATCGTACCGAATTCTGCCAATCTATGCGTCGCTTGCTTGCGGAATACGTGAGTTCGTGCGACGGATGCTTGTTCTTTGTCTAAGGATTTGGTCAGGATCGACATCACAGAAGGGATTCCGAAGCAAGGTGCGCCTTAAGCTCTTCGTTTCTGGACTTGTCTCAAACCAGATCCCCAGCATCCGTTGCCTTCTGCCGAAACTGCGAACGATTCCTCTCGCCACCACAGAGCTGGACTATCGCGCGTCCTGAATCGTCCGAACTCCTCGCCATCTGCTTGAAGAAGCTGAAGGGTCTGAACAAAGTCCGGTTGACGGATGCACATTTCATCTGGACGGAACCTCATTCAAAACGGCTGCGGGTGTCAATCACGATACAAAAAGAGGTGGGTATTTTCTTCTTGCAGCTTCAGATGGACCTGATTACTATCTCAGGTTCTGACGAACACGATCCTCGAGCAAACCTTTGAGATTGAGTATCTCGTTCAGTACGGCCAATGCCCCGATTGTGCCAAGCTCGCGGCGAAGAACACATGGAAGGCGCTGGTGCAAGTGCGGCAGAAGGTTCCACATAAGCGGACATTCCTGTATCTGGAACAACTTATCCTCAAGCACAATGCGCAAAAAGACACGATCTCGATAAAGGAAGTGCGCGATGGGCTAGATTTCTTCTACAGCTCGAGGAGTCATGCGTTGAAGATGGTGGAATTTTTATCCAGTGTCGCGCCTGTCAAGTACGTCCTTCGATCATTTGGAAAGGCGATGCAGCCCAACATTTGCACAGATCAAAATCGTCTGAACAGCTGCTATCCACTGATACGCACACGAATACGGCCAACTTCAAGTACACCTACTCAGTCGAAATCGTACCCATATGCAAGGATGATCTCGTCTGCATTCCCCTCAAACAAGCACGAACGCTAAGCAACATCAACCCGCTCACCATTTGCGTACGCGTTGGCAACTCCGTGCAACTCCTCGACCCACAAACACTCCAATCCTGTGATATCCAATCGCAAATCTACTGGCGGTCACCCTTTGAAGCCCTCGCATCCGTGACCGACCTCGTCGAATTCACCGTACTCGACATCGACCCCGACCATTCTCGGCGAAAGGGCAAATTCGCGATGGCCGATGCGCAAGTTGCTCTAGCCGGCGCGTTCCACTCAAAGACCAAAGCATCCGTTGATGAGGATGTAATGGACTTCGACTCCGTCGGCGATACAAATCAGATCTACCACACACGGACGCACCTCGGCGCGATCCTGCAGCCGGGCGACACCGTCCTCGGCTATTTCCTCACCAACGCCAACTTTAACTCGGACGAGTTCACCAACCTGCCCCAGGACCGCATCCCGGACATCATCCTCGTGAAGAAAACGTACCCGAATCGACGCAAGAAGAGCAAGGCGCGCAACTGGCGCTTGCGGTCGATCGCGAAGGAGGCTGGGGAGGAAGGCGAGACGAGCGGTGCTAGGGGTGCAATTGGACGAATGGGAGGCAGGGACCAGAAGAAGGTCGAGGAGGACTATGAGATCTTCTTGCGCGATCTGGAGGAGGATCCGGAGTTGCGTGCTGGCGTCAACTTGTTCAAGGCTCCGGAGATCAAGATGGCGGCGCCCGAGCCCTCGAAGGAAAAGAAGGGGAGAGGGAAGAGGGCACAGTTCTCAATGGATGTGGACGAGGAAGTGCTGGTCGAGCGTATCCCTGCCGCTGCTGTTTTGGACGATGACGCGGAGGAGGAGGCTGACTTCCCTGAAATTCAACTTGACGAGCTCCTGGAGGGCTTTGACGAGATGACCCTTGGCCCAGCAGATGGAGAGGAGACTGTGCAGTAAGACGGGTAGTGGACGTGTCAGCTCCACTGCAGATGTTGTAATTTGCGGAATCGAAAAGGGACGATTAGATCATCGTTGTCTTATCTTCAAGTTCATATGGCACCAAGCCCTCCGAGTCCGTCACTCTCTTTTTCTTATTTGAATACCACTTCAAACTGTTCGATTCATCCTCTGATATCTTGTCTTCGAACATGGCCAGATGGCTGTGCTTTCTTTCAGAAGACAAGCACGTTCCTGCTCAGTGGTGAATCGTGCGCGTGAACGCCGAGATCTGGAACTCAAGGAGAAGAGCTGACATAGGCCCCTTTACTCCTATCACATTCGGCTTCGAAGTCGCAAGGTCGGTTCGGTGCCCATATAACCCGTGAGTTTGTTGACCGTTCTCTTCGGCAAAGATTTGTATCCCATTCAGTAGACTCAAAATTCTCGTGGAATGGAGCTGGTGTGTAGCCACCACCTCGGACTCTCTATTCTTATCCTGAAGGTCATATTCTCCCGAGGCCCGTGCCAATCGACGTCCTTGATATCGCTATTGATATAAGCCCGGGCACTGGGGTTGGAGCAGCCTCGACCTAGTGTATTTAAGGTAGATCGCAGAGTGTCGTTTACAGAAACCGAAAAATTCTCCAGGTAAGCGACTTCGAAGGCGCTCGTGCATTTCTAATTGGCGTTTGCCTTCCAGTTGACGATGATCCCCTTATTCGTAGAGGAGTCCTTTGTTTTGGGTGTTTTCATAGGGCTACTATACTACATTCATGCAAAGCGTAACAAAGGGCCCTATTCACATCTTCCTCTTCCGCCTGGTCCAAAGCGCCTTCCAGTTGTTGGAAACCTCTTCAATCGTCCAAGATCATTTGAGTGGGAGACCTATCACAAATGGTGCAAAGAGCTCGGTGAATTCCTCCCCTGCCTCATGATTTACATGACGGTGACGACATTTATTCTGTAGACACGGATATTCTCTGCCTAAACATCATGGGCCAAAATATCATAGTACTTGACACGGGCAAGGCGGCTACAGACCTCCTCGAGAAGCGCTCTTCGATCTACTCGGCAAGGCCTGTTGCCTTCTTTCGTCTACCCTTGGCACATGATGGCTGATGTTGTCTGGGTTTTGAAGGCCGCGACTGGTCATGGTGAACGAACTCATGGGATGGGACTTTGGTATGGGATTTATGACATACGGTACGTCGTAAGTGGATACCTTCCAACGCGTTTCTCAGATCGGGCCAAATGCAGGGGACAGATGGTAAGGTTCAGAAAGAATTCTGCACGCTACTTAATTCGATCATTTATGGCGTGCCGCGAAGGCGTACCCAGCGGAGGTTGATTCACCTCTCCCTTCATCCTGGTGTCGTCACTGAATACCGACCACAACTCTTACGCGCGAGCCGTAATCTACTGAACAGGTTTTTGGATTTCGAGGACGAGCACGTCATTACGAACATCAGGCAGTGAGTCCTACTATTCACGCGATTTTTGCTCCTCCGGGTAGCTGATAATAAATATAGCATGGCAGGCGAGACGATCCTCTCCGTCGCATATGGAATTGAAGTGAAGCCCCGAGACGACCCATACATCGCCATTTCGGAAGAGAACGTGAAGGCAGTCACCGCAGCAGCCATTCCTGGAACGTATCTGGTCGATAGCCTTCCCTTTCTGAAATACATCCCAAGCTGGTTCCCCGGCGCAGAATGGAAGAGGAAGGCGAAAGAGTGGAAGGAGTCGTTGATTGTGATGATCAACTCGCCGTTCGAATCGGTCAAACGGGATATTGTTGGTGGAAAAGCTGCTACACTTTACTTGATTACTGATCGGAGTCCCTAGATGACGGGCTGTGTCCTCCCGTCTTTTACCTCAAAGGGACTTCAGAAGATTCAAGAGGGAAAGAAAGACGTGGCGTATACTGAGGAAATTATACGGAACGTGGCCGCGGCCATGTATTCTGGTGCGTATTAAAAATTCGCCCCTCGCCCAACTGTAATATTTAAGCGTGAGGACAGCCGGCTCAGATACAGTAGGTATATGTAAGCGATTTCGAGAGCCAATTCTGACAACAGTGCAGACAGTGTCTACAATTTCGTCCTGCATGCTGGGTCTTCTTGACCACCCTGAGGCTTTGGAGAAAGCACAAGCAGAAATAGATGCAATGATCAAGCCTGGGCATCTGCCCGACTTTGAAGACGAACCCAGCCTGCCGTACATAACGGCCATCGTAAAGGAGAGCTTGCGGTGGATGGTTGCCCTCCCTATTTGTTCGTCTAATTAATATGTATCGGATCTTTACCCCTAATCATGCCCAATTAGCAATCCCACATTACCTCGAGGTCGAAGACGAGTACCAGGGGTACAGAATTCCCGCTGGCTCGATCATTATTCCAAACGCATGGTCGGGACGATTTCTTCTATATCTATTTCCGTTATATTAATTTCTCCCTGTGTAGGGCAATGCTTCAAGATGAGAAAGAGTACCCCGACCCTTCCGTTTTCAATCCTGATCGATTCATGAAGGACGGAAAACTGAACAAAGATATCCGAGATCCGGCCCATGCTTGTTGGGGCTTTGGAAGGCGGTACTAATATCTCATTGCCTCATTTAAAAATTTGCTGACATCCTCCTCGATCTGGTGTGTCCAGGATTTGCCCCGGGCGCTTCTTGGCGTTTTCTTCCATTTGGATCAACATCGCCTCGATAATCGCCGCTTTTGACATCAGGAAGGCAACCGATGCCGAAGGAAATGTGATAGAGCCTAGCCATGAATATGTATCTTCCCTCGTCTGGTGCGTCTTCCGTTCCTATTTCTGGCGTCACTTTCGGGATCTAATCCGGTGGGCGCTAACATCACTCCCCATTAGCGCACCACGGCCGTACAAGTGTTCCGTCACTCCGCGATCTACCGAAATGGAGCTCCTTATCCGCGCGAGCGTCCAAGAAGCTTTTTAGATCGTGCTATATATAGTACCAATTTGGTGTACGATATTCCAATTGCAGATCACTTCGCTTCAAACCTGATCAGCCGAGAACGCCACGCCACACGGAACCCGGTCCGGCGTTGGAAGAGATTGCAATCTTATCTTATCTGCTACGGCATGACCTTGCTGGCACTTCATCGCCGTTGCTTCTCGAATCTCCTTGAACTCTCATGTGTCTATGACATGACTCCGTGTTCAATTCAATCCCCTGTTCGCCCGTACACCCTTATTTTATCAAGCAGACAAGCACGACAGACAGTGGAGACTCGTTGGACCCGTGGTAGAGAGCCAAGGCCCAGGGCGTCGAAACCTGGAATAGAACCTCTGCAGTGATACAGACCTCCTTATTGCCCATCACATCTAATATCGAAGTCCTAAGGCTGGTTTGTTGGTATCCGTAGAACCTGTGCGTATTTCTACCGCTCAATCCGGCTGACATTCATAAACCATTTCCTTCGGCAGAATCCACTGCCAGGTTCCGTGAAGCACCTCGACTTGGTAATTCAGGGAAATGGGGCTTATACCGTTGCTGTTACTTGCCGCGTCATACCCAGCTTTCCCTTGAAGATTGAAGAATCTAATCGTCGGTGTCAGTATAAGGCCGCCGCTTGGACATGGACCTTGCCGGAATCCTTTGGGATCCGGGGTCAGAGCAACCTGGTCTAGGAGCCATGGGGCTGTCGTGCATTCTTATCGCTGGGGCACTCTAGCTGGTTCTCCCGCCGATGTCTTCTCATGAGCTCACTATCTAGTCTAGAGATCGTCCGATCCCGTCCCGCTTGAATATCGGTGTTTTATCTCATGCTGGGAGCTGATGTGCGAGTGAGGAGCTTCTGACGATATTTAAAGTCCTGAAGTTGTAGCCAGGGATTTCCTATATCAAGGCTTCTGTACTCAGCTACAGTCGAAATATTTTTCCAGGTAAGTTGCACCCACCATTCTTCTTGTACGCGACCAACTCGCCCATTCTTTCATTTATCAAGGATGATCCATTTAGAAGAGACTGTCATCGTCGCGATTGTTCTAGGACTTGCGTCTTATATTCATTCAAAACGGAACAAGAACCCATACTCGCAGCTCCCACTTCCACCTGGACCAAAGCGTCTCCCAATCCTTGGAAATATCCTCGACCGCCCGAAGGCCTTCGAATGAGAGACGTATCACCAATGGTGCCAAGAGTTTGGTTAGCCCTTGATTTCGTATCTGAACTTCCTATGTTCTGTCCTAACTTAGTTTATTATTTAGGCACTGACATTCTGTATTATACTTGAACCTCTTGGGAACCAGCGTCGTTGTCCTTGATACAAGTGAAGCTGCATACAATTTGCTTGAGAAGCGCTCATCTATTTACTCCGCAAGGTCTGTCAGCTCAGCTGTCATCGGAAAAGGATATGTCTCATACATTTTGGATTTTGAAGGCCGCGAATGACCATGGTGAACGAGCTCATGGGGTGGGACTTCGGCATGGGCTTCATGAACTATGGTGTGTACCAATGAATTATAGGCTCGTCTTCTATCATTGACCCAGGGTGAATGCAGGCGAACGATGGTAACTGCCAGCAAAATCTGCGCCCTTCTTATCTGCTTACCCTATCTATCACTTTCTAAGGCGCACACATCGGCGGCTTATGCATCTTTCCTTTCACCCGGCGGCAGTCCTCAAATATAGGCGCCAGCTTCTACGCTCGACCCGCAATTTATTGAACAGGTTTTTGGATTTCCCCGACGACAACGTCATTGAAAATGTCAGACAGTAAGTCCAAGGGCCTCATCGTTTTGATTAACGTTAAACTGCTACCGACGTAGCATGGCAGGCGAGACAATCGTGTCCGTCGCATATGGAATCGAAGTCCTGCCCAAGGGCGATCCTTACATCGCGGTGGCAGAAAAGAACATGCGGGTCGGGGCCATCGCGGCTGTTCCTGGAGCCTTTCTCGTCGACAACTTGCCATTCCTGAAGTATGTTCCAGACTGGTTCCCAGGCGCTGATTTCAAGAGGAAGGCGAAAGAGTGGAAAGAGTTGGCTCGGTTAATGATCTATCCTCCGTTTGACGTTGTCAAACGCAATATTGTTCGTGCCAGTGAACCCTTGCATATTTAGAGGCTTTCTTCCCACCCCTCATCAGGCTGCTGGAAGCGCACCGCCATCCTTTGTTGCCAACGCATTTGATGAAAAGCTACGAGCGGGATACAAAGATGCAGCATACCAAGAAGATGTAATTCGAGAAGTCTCTCTGTCGCTTTATGCTGGTAGGTAACTTTGGGTCAGGTGCTTACACAAGGGTTGAGGTTAATCGATAATCTCTTGCTCATCTCCGATGATTCAACCAGCTGGCTCCGATACGGTAAGCCCTTGTCGTTCCGTTTATCGCAGATTCAGAAGTCTGAAAAGCCATAGACCGTGAACACCATTGCCGTGTGCATCCTAGGACTCCTCGACCACCCTGAGGTTCTAAAGAAAGCCCAAGTTGAAATTGATTGAGCGGTCAAACCGGGCTATCTCCCAGACTTCGAGGACGAACCGAGTCTTCCTTATATAACTGCCATCGTGAAGGAAAGCCTACGATGGATGATGATTCTTCCTATTGGTTTGCATCTCTTCGTATATGCAAATTTTTCATCTTTCTGACTTGGCCGTGATAGCCATTCCACACTACCTCCAAGTCGAAGACGAATACAAGGGGTATCGCATTCCGGCCGGTTCGATCATCATCCCGAACTCATGGTATGCAAGATTCTTTTCACCATCTCCTTCGTGACAAATTTTTCTGCTTCGCTAGGGCCATGCTCCACGATGAGGGGGCATATCCTGACCCCTTTACCTTCAACCCTGAACGCTTCATGAAAGATGGTCAGCTAAACAAAGACATCAGAGACCCCGCCCATGCTTGTTGGGGTTTTGGAAGACGGTAAACCATCATTATTTTATTCATAACCAATGCCGCTTCTTGACTTCTCTTCGATCTGGTGGGTCCAGGATCTGCCCTGGGCGCTTCATGGCGTTCTCTTCCATTTGGATCACCATCGCGTCGATGATCGCCGCTTTCGACATCAAGAAAGCGACTGATCCCGAAGGAAATGCCATCGAACCCAGTCATGAGTGTGTTTCTGCTCTTGTCAGGTAAGCCTTCATGTACTCCAGAATCTGGCGAGCACTGACATCACTCCCCAACAGCGCCCCATACCGTTCAAGTGCTCTATCAAGCCTCGCTCAAAGGAAATGGAGCACCTTATCCGCGCGAGTGCCTGCTCAAGAAGCGTTTTAACTGGTGTTGCATATAGAACCAATATCGTGTATGATATTCCGACTGCATGATCATCTGGGGCTATCGCTTCGCGTTTGTCCAACCTTCGTTGGAGCATACAGTTCAAGCTGATTAGATTAGATCGGTTGCGCAGTTACAATCTGAATTTCTGTTAGCTTGGCATGATCCAACGACGTTGATCGACGACTTTAACTCGATGGACCGTGTCAGAGCTCCCCACTTGCCCTCCAGGCATTCCAATTGTCCGCATAAATCCAAGGAGATGACACTACTGCCAAAGTACACGCCTTAGAACTATCTAAAAGCACCGTCACCGTCAATGATACGTATGACGGTCCGTTCTGGACAAAAATACACGATTGAAGTTTTTTTTATGAGAAACCCTGATTTAGGCCGAAGCCTGACCAAATCTGACCAAATCTGCTAGTTTCGTCCCGAGACCGACGCTCCCGGATCCGCCATCTTCGCACCGTCTCTGCTCGATTCGGCCAGATCGACCCTCCCTTTTTTTATGACCCATCGTTCCGATACGGGAGGAATCTGACCGCGCGGGATGATTCGGGACGATTCGTACGGATTCCTCCTCAATTCTTTTTTTAAGAAACATCTAGTGATTTTTTTCCCCTCGTGTGTGGTCAGATTCGTCCCGAATCCGACCGTTTGGGACCTTGCGATCTAAAAAAAAAATTATGGTTTTGGTCGGAATCGGTCGGAATCAGGGCGATGTGTTGCAGATCGGGAGGGGTTTTGGTTTTTTTTTTGGGTGGCAAACGAAGCGGGTCTAATCGGTGTGTTTCCTGCGGATTGGGACCGTATTGGACGGATTCCGCCTAAATCTGACAGATTGGAGAGGGACTTATGAGGAAAAAACGTAAATCTGTATTTTTGTCCAGTGTGGCGCTGCATAGATACGAGACCAACGTCGCCGTTTGAGTGCTTCCTGAGGACCCTGCATGTGCAAAAGTCCCCGTTTCTGAAGACACGACAGCATTCGAATTTTTTTTGGCGCCTTGGAAGGTGGTCAGCTGCCAACAGCTGGTGAGGGAGGAGGATCCAGCCATGAAGGTTGCATTGTCCCTGGTGGATCGATTGTATTGAGAGTTCGGCCTTCAGATCTTCAGACTCAAGCAGTGCACCATGATACGTGTTTTTTTCCTATCGTAGAGGTGGTGTACGTCTACAACCGGTTGTTCTATCTTACAATGGCTGACCAGTTGTCTCTCAACCCCCGCAGCCCCCGCAGAATACGCGAAAATGATCTTGGACCACATTTGGATCTTCCACCGAATGACAAGCTTGCATGGAAGATACAGGGGCCCTCTGGGCGTTTAAGCGCCCATCTAAAGATATATAAGCCGGGCGGGTGCATTGGAAGCGACCGAGGAACACTCCTGGAACCTGGGTCGCTCTTTGAAGAATCGTGGGACTGAGGTGAGGTGTCAACATCGTTTGCATGCCTTCTTTGCTGATCTCGTTCTGGGTTTAAGATGAACCAAATGAGCACCGTTATCCCATGGACAGTCATGTTGTGGTTGTGTTACCGGGTCTGCGTTAGGGGTCGGAAAAAAGGACCTTACTCCAATCTTCCTCTCCCACCGGGACCCAAAGAGCCTTAAGTGGAAGACGTACCACGAATGGTGCCGGAATTCATTGAGTCCTCAGTCCAGGATACGAACGGTTCTGCTGTCTGCCGATTCTTAGCAACGTGCACCGTAGACACCGACATTTTCCACCTCAATTTCGCTGGCACCCATGTTTGTGTGCTGGCTACGAGTGAGGCCGCGTCCGACTTGCTCGAGAAGCATTCGTCGACCTACTCCGGAAGGTATGCCGTTCGGTCCCGTTTGTGTCACCCGCCGACTTTGACGAACATTCGAAGACCTCAGCAAACCATGGCCTGTGAGTTGATGGGCTGGGACTTCAGTCTGGCTCTCGTGCCATATGGTGCGTTTCCGTCTATGCGCTCGCATTTCTGTATTTCGTTGAAAAGAGATGCAGGAGAACGGTGATAGATTTTTCTAAATGTGCTGGTCAACAAATTTCACGCATATGGCAGCCACCAGGCGCAAAAATCGCCGGCTTATGATCCACTTAAGTTTCCACCTGGCCGCCTCCGCCCAATTTAAGCCATACTCCCCATGTGCCAGCCGTAATCTTCTTAACAGGATATTAGACTATCCCGAGAGCCTCGTGTCAAACCTGAGGCGGTACGTCCTCTTTGTCCAGCCCTCTCTCTCTCGGGTCTCAGCAGCTGACTATGCGCAGTATGGCTGGCGAAACGATCATGTCCATTCCGTACGGCCTCGACGTGCTTCCAAAGAATGATCCATACATCGACACTGCAGAAGAGTCTTGATCTTCCGGCAGAACGATTTTGACGGACATTGATGGCTCTCAACGCTTTCACGACTTCGTCTGATTCTACAACACTTATCTTTGCCGCTAATCTATCTATCCACCGGTCCCACCAAGATATTTTTATCACTCTTCGTGATCGTTGAGGCCAATTTCTCCCGCGTGCAAAGTAAAACTTGCACCACTGCCAGCTGATCATTTTGCGCTTCTCTCCGTGCTTGCTGGAATCCAACACGTCCTATTCTACCAACACTTGTCAAATGACAAGCACCGGGCTTCAAGACAAGCAATAAACATGTTTTTTGACGGAGTCCAGGCCCCACAAATGTATTTTGGCTTTAGGTTTCCACCAGCTTCGCGTTCACGGCTGACGCAGGTATGCTCTCATGCACCCTTCGTTCTTCGGTAGCAGTGTAGTTGACCTGTTAAGGACAGCTTCGTTGGATTTATTACTCTTGCGGCTAATACTGAGGGAGCAATACCTCCTGATGGGTTAAGTTGAAGCCCAGTACGCGTCCCAAATTTCACTCGGCGAACTTCGTCCATCTGTGAATACAAGGATACAATGGTGGCCGTGGAATCTGTGTATAGCACCTTTTTATAAGAAGAGGTAAGCCACCTACTCTTTCCCCCGAAGTTGTAATTTCTTCCAAAATTTCATTTTATCTGAGGATGATCCCCAATACTACCCTCCTCGTCGCAGCCCTGGTACTAGTAGGGCTGGTCCTTTACATTTTCGCGAAACGCAAGAAAGGACCATACGCATGCCTTTCTCTTCCCCCAGGCCCAAAGGGCTTGCCCCTGATTGGGAACTTGCTGGACCTCCCGAAGGAATCTCAGTGGGAGACCTATCATAAATGGTGCAAGGATTTCGGTGCGCCTTCTGCTTAGATGTTGACCCTCGACTTAAGAATTCGTAGACACCGACATTCTCTACTTAAATTTCGCGGGCACGGACGTCATTGTTTTGGATTCAAGCGAGGCTGCCAATGAACTCCTCGAACGGCGCTCGTCAATCTACTCCGGAAGGTTTGTTGGGCCTTTGTTGCCCGTTTATGGCCACGTCTGACGGCACACAAGAGCTCGATTCTTGATGCTGAACGAGCTCATGGGATGGGACTTCAGCTTCGGTTTTATGGAATACGGTGTGTGTCGCCTGTATCAATCAATTTTCACCTGTCAGAACCTCTGAGAACACAACAGGAGAGCAATGGTATGTTTGTACACCCGAGTGTTTCCTTCTCTCAACGTATCGACTCTTCTGCAGGCGTAAGCGCCGACGCGCCATGCATCTTGAATTCCATCCAACAGCCGCGGCTCAATTCAAGCCGCACTCCCTCCGGGCAGCCCGAAACCTCCTTAATAGGATCCTCGACAATCCGGAAGATGTTAATGGAAACCTTAGATGGTACGCCTTTCATCTCTTTCTACGGATCCGCTAACAACACGTAGCGCGGCTGGAGAAACAATTATAGCTGCCACATATGGCTTGAACGTTGAGTCCAAGGACGATCCATATATCTCTCTGGCGAAAGAAGCTATACATACCTTGGAAATCGCGTCCATCCCGGGCGCCTTCCTCGTCGACGATATTCCGATACTGAAATATGTACCGGACTGGTTTCCTGGAGCCGGTTTTAAGCGGAATGCGAAAGACTGGAAGAAATTGGCACTAACGATGAGGGAGAAACCATTCGAGGCTGCCAAGCATAACATTGTACGTGGAAGTTCCTTGTCATAGACTATCTTTTAAATTTGACATTGCATTGGTAGGCTGCTGGCACCCCCATTCCATCGTTCGTGTCCACCAGTCTCAAGCGTATGCGAGAGGATTCCAAAGAGACACTTACCGAAGAGATTATTCGGGACGTGGCCGCTGTTCTATATGGAGGTGCGTATCCTAATCACCGCGGAAGTACCTCCTCAGACTCACTCGCAAATCCAGCTGGTACAGACACGGTAAGTATGTCCTTCGTGTGGGCCGACAGATGTCCACGGAATGCCGTTCAACCCTACGAATAGACACTCTCAGCTATAGCATGGTGCATCCTTGGCCTTCTGGAGCGTCCGGATGTCCTTCAAAAAGCTCAGGCCCGAAATCGACCGAGTGGTCAAACCGGGGCATCTTCCTGACTTCGACGATGAATCGTCTCTACCGTATATCACCGCTATCGTCAAAGAAGCCCTACGTTGGTACGACGTCGTCCCCACCGGTAAGCGCCGACTATTGAGTGGCTCAGCCGAGAAGCTCTCATGCGCCAATAATTACCAGCTCTTCCGCACCGCCTTGAGGTCGAGGATGAATATAAAGGCTACCGCCTTCCAGCCGGTTCTCTTATCGTTCCAAATGCTTGGTGCGTATCTATTCGTATTTTGCTGCTTTTGGCGCTCAATATTTCGTTCCTAGGGCCATGCTCCACGATGAGACCGTCTACCCAGACCCATTTACTTTCAACCCAGATCGCTTCATGAAGGATGGAAAATTGAATCCTGATATTCGAGATCCCGAACACGCTTGCTGGGGCTTTGGAAGACGGTATTGACCCGCCAGTTCGAAGCTTTGGACTTCCACTTACTTTACAACTGAAGGATTTGCTTGGGTCGTTACATGGCCTTTTCTTCTGTTTGGATTAACGTTGCCTCAATCATTGCGGCCTTTGATATCAAGAAAGCGGTCGACGTGAACGGGAACGTGATCCACCCCACTCACGAATATGTCTCCGCTCTTGTACGGTGGGTGTCGATCTTTAGAACCTGTGTTGCCATCCATGACATCGTTGTAGGTTGCCGTTACCTTTCAAGTGTTCCATAATACCTCGCTCCAAAAAGACAGAAGACCTTATCCGCTCCAGTGCCAATGAAGATGTCTTTTAGTCGAAGAACACGTTCTGAAGTGGTTATTGTCGACGCCATCCTACGAATGTAAAATCTAGTTGTTGACGGAATGTAGCGCCGAGTCGGTGCTTGTCTTTTCAACCTGACTGATCCGGCGTGTGCGCCACTCAAGTACCAAGTAATCATGACGTCCACTAACTTGGCATGTACCGTCAACTTGCCACTGCCCTTGCGGATTCGTGCATACTTGGGCTCCTCGACAGGCGTTTGGAGGAGGGCCTAAGTGAGAATCAATTGGAGCGTCCGAGTCAAACCTGACCTAGCCCATGCAACATGCTGGTTTGGGAGGCGGTAAGCCATGACGTTTCATCTTGGTGCAGCTCTCAAATTGATTTGGTTGATGACAAGCATCTGCCTCAGTTCGGTTTATGGGATGCTTGTCCGTCGTCGCGTCTATGATCTACTCATCAATAAATCCGTCGATGCCGAAGGGAACCTGATAGAGCCCAGCCATGAGTGTGTTTCAGGATTGGTCTGGTGGGTTTTGGGTGGGTTCGAAAACATGTCCTGTCACAATCGTTGTCAATGTCAAAGACAAAGAGATAAGATAAGATCACCAGCCGAGGCATCGTGGACTTTGAACGTTTGAACGCGTCAACACGGCTCGGTCATGGCTCGGTCTGAACTTCTAACCAAACGCTACCTATCTTCGCTGCTTGCTTATCCCCGTATGAAATCCCACCAGGACAATTTTATGGATACCGGGGCAGCCATTTAGTTCCGACAGCGAGGCAAAGTTTGCTGCACTGACCATCGACTTCGCTGGCAGAGACGTCCGACACAGACCATGTACCTATTGGCAGTAAAAATTGGGTACTCTGGTAGAAGGAGGGAAAGAAGTTTTTTAACGTCTATGCCCCGTCTATCCTACGCTCGAGGGCCACTCTCATTTTGGATCCATCGCCAGATGATCCTGAGGCATGTGAGTCCTTGTCTTCACGGGGTAGTTCTTGTTATTCTTGTCGAGAAGCTGGCATTCGGTCAATTTGCCCCTCCATTCAGACGCGATCTAACTACCCATCTTCAGGATTTCTCACTACTCCTCAGAGTTGATCATTACGAAGCAATGTTGCCTCTTGGAGCCAATGTCTGCTCCAACATTATGCTGTGCCTAATCTGTCGCCCAGAGATGTTCCGGTGAATTCATCCAGATTGGTTTAAAAAAGCGTCCTCTTTGCCTGAGTTGGTGATTAGTGACTGAAGGTAAATGCAATCCACCCTTTTTGCGGCAGGAAATTTCTAATCTTCGTTAGATAGTCGAACATGCTGCATCTCGGGGTCAACGTTGCTGTCGTAGCTTTGCTAGGGTTCGTTCTCTACAACCTCACGAAACGAAAGAAAGGACCGTACTCCAGCCTTCCCCTTCCTCCAGGGCCAAAGGGCCTCCCATTTATTGGAAACCTGCTGGACCTTCCGAAGCATTCCGAGTGGGAAGCCTATCATAAATGGTGTGAAGAATTTGGTGCGTAGTTGTCGTTCTCCAAACATTCGTAGCCTGAAATTTTGCGACCCCAGACACTGATATTCTCTACTTGAATTTCGCGGGCACGGACCTAATTGTTCTTGACACAAGTGAAGCCGCCAATGAACTCCTTGAGCGGCGCTCCTCAAACTACTCCGGAAGGTTCATCGGTCTCTGTTCTCTGTATTCCTGATACCTTCTTCTAAACCCAGCACAGAGCTCGACTTACTATGTTGAACGAGCTGATGGGATGGGACTTTAATTTCGGGTTCATGCCCTACAGTTTGTTCCGGTGCTTTGATCTCTTTTCATCTGTCTGACCATGGAAAATGTGCCAGGTGACAATTGGTAGGAACCCAACCACCCTGCTTCCAATGTCCTATTGACGAGTCTCTCTTCGCCAGGCGCAAACACCGACGTGCAATGCATCTCTCATTTCATCCCACGGCCGCCGTTCAATTTAAACCCCACAGCCTCCGCGCCTGCAGAAATTTTCTCAACAGGCTGCTCGACAAACCGAACGACATGGTTGCGGCTTTTCGATAGTATGTCCTTTATATCATGCGGTGATGATTATTACTTTACTCACGAGAGGCACTGACAGTATGGCCGGTGAAACAATCATGTCCGTCGCCTATGGGTTGAATGTCCAGCCCAAAGACGATCCCTACATCGCAATGGCAGAGCAAGGAGCGCATACTCTTGAAGCTGCAGCGATTCCTGGTGCTTTCCTTGTTGATGACCTTCCGATACTCAAATACGTTCCGGACTGGTTCCCTGGTGCTGGCTTCAAGAGAAAAGCACAAGAATGGAAGAAAATTGCACGCAGGATGATCGAGAAACCATTTGAGGCTGCCTTGCATAACATAGTTCGCGGACATCTTTCGTCGAGTGTGCTGATATTGACAGTGTATGTTAGGTCGCCGGCGCTGCTATTCCCTCGTTCGTGTCTACAAGTCTCCAGAAGGTTCAAGAGGATTCGAAAGATGATTGTTTGACCGAAGAGATCATCCAGGATGTCGCTGCGACCTTGTATGTTGGTGCGTGTCTGCGCAACTAGAGTCCTTATTCTTGTGTTCATTCCTGAATCTAGCTGGCTCAGACACTGTATGTTTTCCTTTACAAAAGATGTCTTGAGAACTGCGTTTAGTCCACAAATAGACGGTCTCAGCACTCTCATGGTGTATTCTCGGGCTCCTCGAGCGACCAGATGCCGTCAAGAAAGCTCAGGCCGACATTGATCGAGTCATCAAGCCAGGGCATCTTCCCGACTTTGACGACGAGCCCTCCTTACCCTACATTACCGCCATCGTAAAAGAGGCTTTACGATGGAACGACGTTGTCCCGATTTGTAGGTGTCCACTGTTAGTTGCTCAATCCAAGGGCTCTTATCAATTCGTTTGTCACGATAGCTATTCCGCATCGCCTTGACGTCGAGGACGAATACAAGGGATATCGCCTGCCTGCTGGCGCGGTTGTTGTTCCAAACGCATGGTAGCTAATTCCGCTTTCCTTCAACCTGTTTTCTGGGTGTTGAATATGGCGTTCATAGGGCTATGCTGCATGACGAAACTATCTACCCGGACCCTTTCACTTTCAACCCAGACCGGTTTATGAAAGATGGCCAATTGAATCCTGATGTTCGAGACCCTGAGCACGCTTGCTGGGGCTTTGGAAGGCGGTATGCGCCTTTTCGTGTTGGATTAGGTGCAGGCATTTATTATCTTTCTGCAGCATTTGCCTCGGCCGTTACATGGCCTTTTCCTCCGTGTGGATTAACGTCGCCTCGATTCTCGCAACTTTCGATATCTCGAAAGCGGTTGATATGGACGGCAAGGTGATAGAACCTAGCCACGAATATACATCCTCTCTCGTTCGGTAGGACCCTAGTTCTAGGACCGTCTAAACCATTTGCTAATGTTGTTTTAGGCTGCCCTTACCATTCAAATGTTCCATGACTCCTCGCTCGAAGCAAGCGGAGGCCCTTATCCGCTCCAGCACGAATGAAGACGTCTTTTAGCCACAATCGAGCCAACACTATGGAAATTTGGAGACGTACGTATCAAGAATGTATTTTTGGCACGACCCCACGAATGCCAACATATTGAATTGTGACTACATCGAGATCCTTGCCAATGAGAAGCCGCCTAGCCCGGCACTGTGGTATCTGGAAGTTTTTGCCGTCTTCTAATACTCCAACATACGCCACCCTTCAAACTATTTGATTCGATCTGATCGCGAAGCACACAAGAACACAAGACTCGGAGTATAGAGAGAATCATATCTTAAAGGTGCTCTCAGCAGCAGGAACATTTGCAGGACATCCGCCGTCTACTTCTACCTACACACACGAATTTCATGATTAGCATTCAGGACGTCATCTTACTGTCCGCTACAGTAGCCATCCTTTATTGGATCAAGTTCAAGAGTCGGCAAGGGCTTCCTTTACCACCCAGCCCCAAAGGCTTGCCAATTATTGGAAATTTGCGAGATGTCTCATATGACTCTCAGTGGGAAACATACCACGACATGTCCAGAAAACTGGGTTCGTATATTTGTGAGGTCTGAGGTTGCCATACTAACTACGTCTTTCAGATACAGATATTTTGTACTTGAACATGTTCGGTTCGGACGTGATCGTCCTCGACACGTACGAAGCTGCCATCGATCTGCTGGAGAAGCGTTCATCCATCTATTCGGGAAGGTGTGTGAATATGCTGTTTCCTCCTTGACTTTATCACCCGTCGACTCATCCACTTTCAAAGGCCTCGCATGCCGATGGTCATCGACTTGATGGGTTGGGACTTTAGCTTCGCATTTATTCCCTACGGTAAAGTCTTTCTCCGCAATCTACCTTAAGAACACTTGACTGATGTACCATATTTTCCAGGTGACCGATGGTCAGGACACTCCTCAGCTCCGCCTGAAGCTTTGTCTTATTATGTAACCGCATAGGCGCAAACAGCGACGACTTATGCATCAGCACTTTAGTGCCGACGCCGCCCGCACCTTCCGCCCTCACCTTCTCAAAGGAACCCATAGATTCCTTGTCCGCGTCCTCGATGAGCAAGACACGATTGACAAGAAATTCAGACAGTAAGTGCCAATTAGTCTCTGGACACAATTGCAAATAGATTTCCATAAACCAATATATTAACAGCATGGCTGCGGATAAGTTGATGTCGTTCACCTATGGGATCGATGTCCAGTCCAAGGACGATCCCTACATCGAAGTAGCCGAGAAAGGGAACCACGGTCTGATCAAAGCGATACTTCCAGGTGCATTTCTGGTCGACGCTCTGCCATTCCTCAAGCATGTACCGGAGTGGTTCCCTGGCGCTGGATTCAAGCTCAAGGCGAGAGAGTGGAAAGAGTTTGCGCATGGCATGCGAGATATGCCTTTTGAGGCCGCTAAACGCAATATTGTAAGCCATACCTACTCATAACCCGGTCATGCACCTGATATTTCGTCCTTTCGCAGGCGTCTGGAGCTGTGCCGCCCACCTCGTTTTTCGTCTACAATTGCCTGCAGGCCATAGAAAGTGGGACGAAAGACGCCTCGTACACAGAAGACCTAGCGAGATGCACCGCTGGGTCGATTTACAGTGGTTTGTTTCGCACCCAATGTCGTCTATAGTTAGAATTGACCTCTTCAAATGCAGCTGCAGCTGACACGACTGTTGCCGCTCTTTCCTCATTTATTCTCGGAATCCTCAAGCATCCTGAAATCATCAAGAAAGCTCGACAGGAATTAGATAGCGTCGTGAAACCGGGCCACTTTCCTGACTTCGATGATGAGCCTTCCTTGCCTTATATCACCGCAATCGTAAAGGAAACACTTAGATGGAGTGTTGTTGTCCCCGTCTGTAAGTTTGGTCTCGAGCACTCAAAAGGAAGTGGCGACTTACCTTCAATCAGCTGTCCCTCATTCTCTTGACCAAGAGGACGAATATAAAGGATACCACATACCCGTCAATTCAGTCGTTCTTCCGAATGCATGGTAAGCATATTTCATTCCTTGCTACACCTCCGATTAAAACTTGAAATGGTTTATCAAGGGCCATGCTCATGAACGAGGACGCTTACCCCGACCCTTCCGAGTTCAACCCCGACAGATTCATCAAGGATGGTAAGTTTAATCCAGATGTTTTCGACCCTGAAAATGTGTGCTGGGGGTTTGGGAGGAGGTGAGGATTAATGCTCGATGGGACTTTTTACACTCCCTGTGCTCATCTTGTCTTCCTTTAAGGATCTGCCCTGGCCGCTACGTAGCATATTCTTCTGTCTGGATTACCATAGCATCAATGCTCGCAGTTTTCGACATCGAGAAGGCGAGAGATGAGGCCGGGAATTCGGTGGAGCCTGCGTACGACTACGAATGTGGTTTGGTTCGGTGAGTCGCCTCGTAAATCAAGAGCTCGATCCAAGGTGTTTTCTTACATGTGCGCTACACTGCTGAATAGTTCTCCGAAGTCCTTTGTCTGCTCCATAACTCCCAGGTCGAAGGAAGCCGAAGATCTTGTTCGCTTGACAGCGATACAAGATGCGATGGCTTAAATGACGGCCAGATTGTCTGTTTCGCTTATTCCATCTTGTAATATCTGAAGAAAGCAACATGAATGTTGATGAACTGGACCGCTCCCTGACCCCGGTAAATCCCTTTTTTCGACCTTCGTCATTGCATTCCCGCCATTCCCTCGATCCCCGATGCCTTTCCCATAGAGCCATATGGTTCCTCGACACACTCGGAGATCCTCAGTCAGCAAAAGCATCCGTCCCGTGACTGGCACCGCCTCTTTTCCTCTCTTTCCCGTTTCACCGAGACGCTCGGCGCGCCTCCCTTTCCTTGTTAGGTAGTCTTTTCCCCCATCAACGCAGTTGCCGCCTCGCCGCCTCTCCCCTATTCCATTCCTGTTTCATTCTTATCTAAAATTTTCTGTTTTTCTTTCTTCCTTCACCCACGGCTCGGATATCTTCCTTGCCGGGCTCTCCTTTCTTCATAGATATAATCCATGTCTACACACTCACACAACATAGAGAATTTAATTTGTTTTTCATCTCTCACCGCCCTCGTTCCTCGTCCTCTCGCTCATATTCCGGAGGTGTCGTTGCCTCATTCATCCCGTTCCCACGCTTAGCGCCCACGTCTGTCACCCGTCTTCGAGTCGCGCGCGCCCACTGGTTAGAGCCGCACAACCGGGAACCTGTCCTCGCACCTCAGAGCCACTCATTGCGGTGTTTTGGGTGTGTGTTAGTCATTCCTTATTCGCACGATCACCCCACCGTAGGCACATCAATGTGCGAGTGCACTGTGTTTGAAGAATAGGGGCGAAAGTTTGATTGGATTAAATCCGGGCTTATTAGGCACAGCCGCTAGTCCAACAGTCGCTCCGTCTTAACCATCAACCAACACGTTTCTGTCCCGTGTTGCCGTCTAAGAAGGATATGAATGGCCTAAAGCTGTTCGAAACAATGTTTGGGCGGGTCAGGCGCTTCGCCTTTCCTCTGAGCGCTGCCACACAATTTAGGCCACGCTCCCTTCGAGCCTGTCGAAACCTCCTTAACAGGTTCCTCGACAATCCGGACGACGTCGCGGGGAATATCAGACAGTTCGTTCCGATCCTCTTCCTTCCAGTCGACTGATACTTAGTGCGTTTAGCATGGCCAGCGAAACAATCATGTCTACCGCCTACGGCCTTAACGTTCAACCCAAAGATGATCCTTACATTTCGTTGGCTAAGGGCGGCCTCCATGCCCTCGTAACGGCTGCTGTTCCCGGAACCTCCCTTGTGGATGTGCTGCCTTTTCTGCAATACTTTCTGAGAGTCTTGAAGAAATGCGGGGATATCGGTGGGTATGTTTCGAGCTTCTATGGTCTTGTCTCTGATTCTTTCGAATAAAGCTGGCTCTGATTCGGTTGGCCTTCCTCGCCGCGTCTCCAGAACCCTTTCTGAGAAAGAGATCGATGCTCGCTGCCATCTCATCGTGTATATTGGATCTCCTCGAATACCCGGAAGCTCTGAAGAAGGCGCAAGCAGAAATTGATCGAGTCATCAAGCCAGGCCACCTTCCTGACTTTGGTGACGAAGCCTCGCTATCCTACATCACCGCAATCGTCAAAGAAATCATGCGGCGGAGGGATGTCATATCCATTGGTACGTGTTGGCCATTTCTCCCCTAAAACATGCTCGTCCATCTGACCGAGGCTTTCTTATTAGCTATTCCGCATTACCTCGAAGTTGAAGATGAGTACAAGGGCTACCGGCTTCCTGCTTGCTCTATCGTCATTCTGAATGCGTGGTATCCGGGCTCCTTTCCTGTACCGTTTTCTGTACAAGCTGAGGTGTAACTCTTCTGCAGGGCGATGCTTTGCGATGAGTCGGCATATCCGGACCCCTCACGTTCAACCCCGACCGCTTCATGAAGGACGGAAAGCTTAACCCGGAGATTCGAGATCCTGACCATGCATGCTGGGGCCTCGGCAGGCAGTACACATGAACCCGTATCTGATTTTACACCCATTGACTCACTTCTTGTCATGGGATTTGCCTCAGTCGCTTCATGGCCTTCTCTTCCGTATGAATCAACATGCGTCCCTCATCGCCGCCTTCGATATCAAGACAGCCATCGACGCCGAGGGCAATGTAGTATAGCTGACCCATGAATATGTTGCAGTACTTGTCCAGTAAGATTTTCGCATTTTGTCCTGTCATTGCGAGAGCTTACTTTGCTCCAGGGCACCCTTACCATTCAAATGCTCCATCACGCCTCGCTCGAAGGAGACCAAACTTCTCATCCGTTCCAGCGCGAATCCGGATGTCTTCTAGCATGGTTTATGATCAACTGCTTTTCAAAAAGTGTGGTTCCAGTTGTGACATTGTACATATGTTGTAAATTACAGGTAACTATGTATGTCATTTTAAGATGGTTAGAAGCTGAGAGACTACTGGAGAATTGAAGCACTGACTGATTCAGTAGATCTGCCCTACCAGAATGCGAAATCGGAGTATAAGGAACAGCGAAAGATCTATGTCTAAACAGACGGTCACGAGCGTAGACGAAGGAATCAACATTGGGTCTCACCTTGTGTACTTAGCGGCTGAGACTAACGAGGTAGCCTGCCACCCTTGCTACTCGTACGAGCAATAGATGTGAAGAACGTCGATGCGATGGAGGCCACCAAGACAGTCTCGACCGTCGCGAGGATAGCCATGTTCAAACGACGATGGCTAATGAACATGCTCTTGTGCGTGAAGCACTGTGGCTCCTCCCCGTAGCACACTGTCTCCACCTGGAGGCGCTCGATATGGAGTAAATTGGTATAGAGGACGAAGGCCCAGAAAGACGTCAGCACTGCGACGAAGATCAAATTCGCGTATTTGAACTGTAAGGAGGTCCATCTCTCCGTGAGGCGCCGGGGTAGTGATAGGGAAAACATAGATGAGAGTGTGACGGCGGAGCAGTAGGAGATCGTGAATGAGGCTGCGACGAAAGATGACAGCGCCGCGTTGCGATTCATGGAAGTATTGAGGAAGTTTGAGGCCTCAACTCGCCTATCCTTCATGTAGGTGATGATAGATAGCGAGAGGAGAGAGATGGAACAGAATATCGACGGATAGGCCAGGTGAACCACTCTACGAGGGATAATACCCCTTATCCTTCGCCTACGACCACCGATGAGGAGGACAGATGCAGCGTTCGAGGACACCAGCGGGTGTTTGGGAGAGTCGAGGTCGATTATCATTGGTGCTGCGGAAGCGCTGAAGATGGGCGTCGAGGTCCACGTTTAGTTTTCCAACTAAAGGTATGACGTGCGCTTCAGGCATGAGAATCCCATGGTTCTCGGCGTAAGGATCGGATGAAGTGACTTGCATCGACCGTTCGAGGCAGGTCAGCTGCATGCATTGGGCCCCATTTACATGACTCCATCACCATCTTGACCATAGACTTGATTAGCGTATACATAGACAAAGGTCACTTTGTTCGATAGTGTAAATTTCCTCGAACGCAGACGTCGAAAACTTGGAGGCAAAGAGCTTGAACGAAGGTTCGGAGGACGATTAGGAATATGCATACAGGATTGAGTGTTGGTGACTCACTTCAAAAATTAAACTCTTCTTTCCAACGCTCGGCATCGCTTCCGACAACGGATTACGGACAGCAAAGGTTTAAGGGAGGAGACATGGAAGTAAAAGACAAGGCGGGTTCGGCTTTTTCCGAAGTTCATGATGCCATCACACTCCAGCACACCCCTCGAACCGATTAACGCAGACCTCGAGCTCGTCATACGCCGGGGACCAACCATCTTTAGTAGTATAAACAGGCAATGAACGGTGTAGGAAGCTGCGAATACGAACGCAGACCGGAGCCTCACACCGCCTGGTGAAGAAGGCTACTACAAACGAATGAAGATCATAACCTCAACCCCCTTGGATGCTCTGTCTCGCCATCCTTCTGGTTGTCCTGTCGAATTGAGCTTGGATGCGGGTGATGGGCACTGGGTGTTAGAGGAGGCTGTTGCTCATGATAGCAGTCCAGAGCCTCACACCCCAGAATGCGAGGAGCTTAGGTTGCAAGCTTCAAAGCTACTAGCGCTCGCCGCTCGCCAACTCTGAGCCCCCTCGTCATCGCCCACGACGACCGAGCATCACACCTGAGCATCCCCGATTAGGATGTCTCACCTCTTGTTCCACACTTCTGCACCAGCACAAGATGAACGGCTAAGACACCCTGTTTAGCGATGACCGACATCTTGTTCCCCCAGTTACATAACTAGGGCGGAGATGCTTTTAATCGGCATAGAAGACTGCCACAAACAAGTCTATCTTTGTACGAAAATAGCTGTAAATTATGCGTCTTATGGTTCCAGGAGGAAAATTATCCATGATGTCCGAGTTCCTCGCACTCAGAGATTGCTTCATTTCCTCCTGCCACCTCCAGCACGGAAGTTGTCATTGTGTCTATTGAGTGCCAGGTCTTTCAGAACCATATGCACATATTTTCGGGCACTGATTTTGTCTTCTGAGGGAAGTCTGAAGCACCAGTAAAGTTTAAAATAAACTATTATTGCTTTGCCCCTTTCGAGTTGTAACTGCCCACATCCTCTGCATTCACTCAGCACTATTCCCCGTGTTCGTAGTCTCCTGCACTAAACCATATTGCCATGGCATTTTTTCCCATTGCACCTTGGTTATTTTCGAGACACTGAATACATGGAGGAGAAATATAGACAATGTTCACTTCCGTGTCAGCACCCCTCTCCTGAGACCGTTGAGTCGTCTTTGGCAGGCATACGTTGCCCTGGATAACGATGAGTTTGAGCTTAAATTCTCTAGTCAAATGTGGGAGAACTCGCATTGACTCCCATGAGGTTTTAGTCGTTATCCTGTCTGGAGTTCCTTGAACTTCTGGGCCGGGGGCATTGTAGTGTCTATGGTTAGATCATCGCGCGGTGATGGGTTGGGTGTACAGGGTACATAGAAAAGAAGTACGTGCTTTTGGTGTATGTACTTAGACGCACTTTTCGGTACACCTGGGCTGGCAGTTTCTTTATAGGGACCGCGTGCCAGCTTAATACAATTCCTTCCTTCCTTCCTTCCATCACGAATAAGCCACCTTCGGCGTTATCATATCTTCATCATCTCCACAACTTTCTAGAGTCTAACATCTAACTTGTTCACACCGACCTCTTCCAGCTGGAAAATGGCATCTGTGCGACCTCCAGACTCTATCAGGCCTCTCCCGGTACCTCTATGTAATCTATTCATCTCATCTTCTCACCGCAGTTGCTCATGGATTTCGGTTGGTCGCACCACAATAGCGTTCGGTGCTTGTTGTTTCGAGCTTGCAGATCTTCTTTTATTGACCAAATTTCATAGGAGTCCATGCAATAGGCGGAACCGAAAGAGTCAATCTAGTCGGATTCACCGTTACAAGGACACGTCGCTTAGGCATTGTCGACCTGCATCAGGGTACAGGAGGCGTAGCAGATCCACCTGTGCGTGACGAAGTTATCTTTTCGCTTGATGCTTCAGCGCCGAAGTTGGAAAGGGTGTGCTTTCTCTCCTGATTTCCATCTTCTTCCTTTTGTTCTAAGAGTCTCCAGGACCCTGTCATGGAAAGGATTCTTTCGATGCACTCCCGGACGAGAGGTAGCCTCGAGCCCTCTGGCGAGGACTACGTCAATGATTTCAGCTTCCGTCGCAAGCAGGAGCTCAATGAGATTCTGGCGAAGATATAGAAGCTACTATTCACGAACATTGCCGCAGCCTTGCAAACTTATGCTGTGCAGCGGTGCATAAACAGAACGAGATGGCTATCGTAGCACCTCTGAGGGCTCCAATCCGCGCTCTTCCACCAGAGCTGCTTCGTGTAATCTTTGAGATGACGCTGCCAGAAAGTGATCGGTCACTTAAGAGCTCTACGCCTCCTCTCCTTCTCTGCCAGGTCTGCAAAATCTGGCGCGATGTTGCCATCACATCACCCACTCTGTGGAATTCTGTTAGTGTTGATGCTAGCTCTGTACGCACGATCGCAAATTGTGTACACCTCCTGGAGATGGCGGTAGAACGTGCTGGAGACACACCGATAGGTCTCGATCTACACGAATATATGAACTATAGTAAGCAAGGCGCACCCCCGCTGCTGCTTACTACGCTTGCCCCCTCTTTCTCTAGATATCAAAATCTATCTCTATCGGTGCAGAGCCCTCATTGGTATCACGACCTTGCACTGATGAGCCCAGCCTTATCCAGCCTTCCGAAGCTTAAAAATTTGACTCTCCTTGTAAATCACCACAACATCGAGTTCAACCGAGGTCTCAACATATCACCACTCCATCTATTCAAAGCTGCGCCCCTTCTGACGAGCGTTTGTCTAGACCTCAAACATCCTGGAGGTAACCTGTTTATTCACCTTCCCTATTCCCAATTACTCGATCTCGACTACCGGCTTACTCTGAGGGTGCCAAATAGCACCTCTTACGCAATTCGCTGTTGGCAAGCTGCTATCGCTTGCGCCACCAACCTTATCTCAGCCAAGCTCACATTTCTGTCTCAACGTAACGTATTCAGGCAGCAGCCCACCCTCAAACCTGCGGAGAATCCCAAGCCCAGAACATCAGATGTCCAGGAGCTTGCAATAACTTACGGGGTTCTGGGGGATGTTGGGTCGATTTTCTATGGTCTCGAGCTGCCAAAGTTGTCAACTTTGTCATTTCGGGCAGTAAGGGCATGCCTCGTTATAGTGGACAGAGACGCGAAACCTTCGATGCTATATTATTTTGACGTCAAGCCTCTTCGACCAACACTCTTTCACAAGTTAGAGAGCTTGACATTGCTATTTGTGCTGATTTACGACAACCAGCTCCTATCCCTTCTTGAAGCCATCCCCAATATTCGGCATTTCTGCCTGCTCTCTGTGGCAGAATGCTCAATATGCCGCCTACCACAATCTTTCGGTCCAAAGAAATCCGCTCTGACACGTTTTCTCACAGTTCCAGTGGTGGAAGAAGAAGCCGTTGAACGAGCTGATTACCTTCTTCCCAAATTGGAGACCCTGGAGCTGTTTTATCCTGCCACGACGATTCCATGCACGTCGTCCAGCTGAAAGCCTATCAAGAACTTATCAAGTCGCGAGCGAAAGCCAACAAGCGACATGGCATCCGCGTACATGACCGTCGCACTGGAGCTGTTGAACGATTCTTATTCAAGTTCTCACTGACCATTTCAGAGGAGTTTAACACTAGATTTATTGCACCGGACGCGCGAAAGGCGATTTCGGACGTCGGGACCGAGGAGCATCCGGTCTCTGCCTCTGTCGAGTTGGTCAAGAAACTAAGCCTGATAAAAGGGGAGACAGGAAATTAAGAATAGCGGAAACGTATCCTGCGTGCTACAAGGTCTTGATTTGCTACAGCCTACGAAATCTGACCCGATGTGTTCTCGTGAATACTTTGTGCTAGTACTACATACTGGAGATAAAATAAAATCCAAAAAGAGTTCGAGGCAATACGGCAGTAATAAGTACTTCTGGTTTAATGGCCTCGTTATGCAAGTCTGTTCTTATTCCATGGTTACTTCGAACTCTCGAAATGAAAAGAGAACTAACCGGCGGAATTCGCCCCATTCTCCAAATTTCATTCCGGTAGACCCAAGTTTGTCGATGATCATGTTGCGCGCTGAACACGCATTCTTCAGTAGGTCACCTTGATATTCAAATTCTTTTATATATTCTCCAAATTGAAATATTGGATGACTTTCCTTAACGGATTTGAGGCTCTAAAGCAAATGACGGGGTGCCAGCGTCGGGGATTAAAATGGAAGATGGGAGTTTATAGACGTTGGGGTTTGGAATCGCAGGGAAGGTTGAAAGGGCAATGAGGCACGAACGAGGAATGCCGAAGGCTGCCGTGGTCAGGAACATACCTAAACGAGAGCTTTTACACCTAGAATGAGGCTTTAGAACTGGGAAGGGGGTACTTACCCTCCTCCTAGATTTTTCGTTTGAAACAGCCTTTGAAGAGAGCGGAGAGCGGAATGTTTTCCGGGGTCCTGACAGGTGACAACGGCATGCATCGGCCTCACCATTTGAAACGAGATTTAGTGTTTAGAATGGGCTCTAAACGTTAAGGAAAGTCATCCATTCACCAGTCAGCTACAATGTTCAAGCACCATCACGACCTTTGTTCCTCTAGACACGCCCGGGAAATGTTGGGGTGGTTTGGATACTTCGAGTGCGAATCTTGGTACTAGCACGAAGTGAGGGCCACCGAACACACAAGCTCCTGCGCCAGCAAAGTAGCATCGATGATCGGATGATTAAATAAGATGTCCGTCTAAGGGGAGCTAGATGAGCTCTACTATATAATTAGTTAAGTAATGATTGAGTATGAGCGCAAAAGTTAAAACTCTACTGTTCACGATGCTTTTCAGTGTATTGGGGATCACTGCTGCACATATGCGCCGTTTATGCAGTTTGTACAGCTCGGAGAAGCTCGCGGCGGAGGTGTGCAGCAAGACCTGGAGTGAGTTGAAGGACTCCATCGGCAGTGCAGACACGATACGACGGCATTGGTTCGTACATATCTGGTTGGATCTAGGACAAGACCGTCAGGCCGTGCAGAAGTTTTCATTGGAAACGGACAGGCATACCTGGCTGCCTTTAACTAAAACAGACGCAATTATATCGTCCGGGTCGCCGATGCGAGATTGGTCAGGCGGATTGCGTTGGTCTAACGTTTTTTTTTTTTTTGAGGACAGGCATTACACAGATCGTGTCAATGATACGACGTACCGTGAATGTGCATCCAACCGTCACCCAAAGCCATTGCACTGTCCTTCCAAACATCGTCAACTCCTTCCTTCAGGCCCGACTTGATTGATTCATGAAGAAATTCGATGAATTTGGCTTCCAACTGCTCGTTCAGCCCAACTGGAGAAATGCAAAGGGCCGTGAAAACTCACAGTTCTGCTTGAAATCCGCTAGTGTTGCCCCGTTTTCTGTTTGTTCGGACTCGGAAGACGCTGCAGGCAACCATCCTATCACCGAAGCTGAATCCACGCTCGGTGGTGTCTCACTGAGGAAGGAGAGTGCAAAGGCGGGGATTGTCGGAGAGAGCGGAGTGGGCGGATTGGCATAGTGGTAGTACAAACCTGGTCGGTTGGGGTCTGGAAACACAATGTCATTAAATTGTGAGGAGTAGGTCCTTTGGGTCCTCGTCAAAGAGACCTGAGGGCGTGATAATCCTGTTGGTCGGTGAACTTGGAGGTTGAGGTTTGCCGGAGTGTGCGTCGCATGCGTCGCATAGCCACAACACAGGTGGTGACATGAATAGATTTTGTGTCGTTGTACGAGCAAGGTACTCCTCGCCCTATTCAATACTGGGCGACGCATCATGGCGGTTGGCAAGATTTCGAGCAAGATGGTCGTCGTGGACAGAGAGCAATTGACGTCACACACAAATGACGGCCCGCCTGGACCGATTAGCCCCTGTTATAATAGGCCTTACAATCAAAAAGGGCCTCCATTTTTTAAAAAAAATGGCCATCACTGCCACTAGAGATAGGTTGTGGTTATTGTATTTGTGTAATCGTGCCAGTGGAAGCGAAGAAGCGGCCATACACAAGTTGCAAGATATCGAGAATGCGTAGGTAAGATTGGCAAGGCATTAATCTTCCTCCCTCACCCCATCCGAGTCCCACTCGATATCGTCCCAACTTGGACGTCACATGAACCGGGCAGTCTACGGTTCCAGCTGCCGCGATGGCCTTGCATGTTTCGCGTGAATGACGTCGCGTCGCATAGCATCTGGAGAACTTGAGGTGAAAGTGGCAGTAGATGGGATGGACATTTTCTGCGCCAACACCCTGGCCTCTGCGTTAACAAACATCTGTACGGGACTGGACTAGCTCCGCGTATGCTCTTGTTCTTGCGGTTCGTTACTCAAGACTTTCATCGTGACAAGGGTAGTAGAGTTCGAGTGCGCGAAGATGAGGGAGCAGGAATTCCCCGCTTTTAACCTCGAGGCTATCCAAAGCAGGGACTGTAATAATTCGAACAAGGGCTGAGCGCTGAGTCCTGAGGCGTCCATTTGTAGACACACCGCTGACATTTCCCGACATTCAATATCGCCATCTCTTGTATGTTGGGCGTGGCTTGGAACAGAGAAAGGAGGTGTCCATCACCGATATGCACCCGGTAAAGGCGTAAGTACGTCAAGTTGTTGAAGACGGTTGTTCTGAGTCCATCAATTCGGAAATACATTTCCATCGTTGGCGCGTCTTCTGGTTGGGCAATTAACTGGTATACGGACACCGCTGCGACAATGAGAGAGGAGAGCTAGGGGGTTGAAAGGCCTTGAAAAATGAACGCTACATCGCCATGGAGTTCGTTGGATATTACGAGCTTAACAATGGTACTTGTGATGATTTCGGGATTGACCCGCTCTTTGAGTGCAATATCGGGATGGTATTCGTGTCTGCGATAGGTAAAGTTCTACCACATCAAGATTGGAGCAGCGAGAAAGAAGTTGCTGTCAAAATGCGACTGAGGACGCTCCACCAAAGGGATGACTGAGAACAATGCGATAGTGAAGAGACTGTATTTGGTGGTAGGGAAGGCCGATCGCAGTAATAGTCCCGGGATGTCGGACGTCTAGGCAGACGGTAGTCAATTTGGATGCGGTCTAAAATTTGTTGAAGGGGAGAGAGACGGTATAGGCTGGTTGAGTATCATCAATGTGATCGTGCTTGATGAAAAGGGACAACTTTTCCAGGTCTTCGAAAGTCGAATCGTCAACATCCAGTTGCAAAAGTCTGTCGTACCAAGTTCGCGATTGAATGAAAAGACCGATGAATTTGCACCTCGCGAAAAAACCTGACAACATCTTGAGTAGGTTGGAAGACCAAGCCGGTGCAAAGGTATGCGCCGGGTGTAGGTCGAGCACTTGGAGCTTCAGTGGCCTTGCCCGTGCCCGCTGGGAGATGAGTTCAAGAAATTCGCGATAGCTGTCGAGGTATTGGGGCTTCACCATGCGGAAGTCGATGCGAACGTGTCGAGCGCGACGTCCCGCCAAACCTTACAAACCTGGGAGAGGACAAGAGGTGCCGACTTGGGAACTATCTGCCACTCGGTTACTGGCGTAAACATCTCGAAGATGGTGCTGAGGATCTCGGGTGGCAGGGGGCGGATAGGTGCCTTCAAACATTGGACAGCTTTCATGTCGATCTGCTTCTGCGCGGCTTCTTGACAGCATTTAGCAAGGTCACGGCACTGGTCATAAATATTCGACTCCATATCTTGGATTTTCTGCACGAGAACGTTGAAAGCATGCAGACAAATTTGGCTGAAATTGTCGAGATAGATGGTATCTATTGAGGATAAAGTATTTCGAGTTCTTGAGTATCTCGAAACAATGGAATTGAATGTGGAGTCCTAGGGATACACTTAAGTTGGCGACGGGCAACACAAATTAGACGTACCGCTGAGTTCGAGGATTTATCAACTGGGAGCGAGAAGGCCTCCCTTGCCTTATGGTTGTTACTCGAGCAGTTCTCCCCATTCCTTCGCAATGCAACGATTCCATCCACAGTTTCAGGTTTCTTTGAATAGTCGGCGCATATCTCTACGAATATGTGGCTGCTGGTCTCCACGGAACAAGTGTCGTAGAATGTCCAAACCCACCGAAAACTGTCCAGAAAACTATGGTCAGCAATTGACGATGAAGTAGAAACCTGGGCCCAAACCGAGCGGGAGCCGAAGCGCGGCAATATTCTCTCCGTAGATCTGTGCTATGGAGGTGTGTGCAACGTATATTGACGCAGAATGATAGTGTCGCAGACATAGGGTCGGAGTCATCGATCGAGGTTATCTGCTAGTATCTGCCTGGGAAAACTGATTAATATTTATGTATACTCACTGCCACCAAAAGTGATTTCGGCCTGGGGTTCTCATGGTTCGGGATAGCATTGGATCATGAAAATATTCTCCATATCTCAAATGTACTAGGCTAGTAGAATGGTGCTCTCAGAATGCAGGATGTCCATCCCAGAGGTGAGAAAATGCGAAATTTATGCTTGAGCAATTTTTTCACATCTTCAAGGAAGGTTGTAAAAAATCTATAAAATGCATGTATATGTAGATATACTTAGGGAGAGTATATACAAGCTAAAATGGAAAAGATCAAAGCCATGGTTAAGGGGATATGAGGCCAGCAAGTTGAGGTAATTCGTGTGAAAACCCCTAAAAATGCGGAAAATGACCATGTTTTGGCATTTATATCTTGGGAATGACTTGACAATTGAACACAATTAAACTTGTTTGGATGTTTGGTGACATAGAAGTACACTGCCAAATGTATGATATCTCGTAGTCACGTTTTCTAATTTCATTGGACGCATACGTCGATGCACATGGGTTAGATACGGAGTCAGCTATATAGCAGCTGAAAGGTTTGATGTTAGGTTAGCTGGTTGGCACATGTTCAGACATGACAACTATGTAGTAGGAAGAGCATGCCGAAGATCTTATCCCATCCACCTGTCAGATCAGGAAACAGCTCCATCGCAGCTGAAATATTTAATGTTAACTCAGCTGGCTGGCACATGTCAACATGTAATATCCATGAAGCAGCTGGACTATCCTGGGCATCTTGTTCCACCCATCTGCCAGATACCAAACCAGCTCCTTCATGGCTAAAATATTTGATGTTGGCTCAGCTAGTTAGCAGGCATTTAGATGTTGCAGCCATGTAGTAGTAGGTCTATCCTGTGGGTCTCGTCTCATCCACTAGTCAGACAATTCACATATAGTGACCATGTAAGGGCTCGAATCACATAATCTATTTGGTACTATGTCGCCAGCACATGCTTTATATGAAGAAATTTTGAATATCATGAGAGTTACCTTTGACACGATCGCGTGTCCTCCTCATAGAAGGGTGTCTGCCGTGAAATAGGTTCACTCGAGTCAAATCAACGCCGCCACCGCTACAACCAGGTCATAGGTACCTCCTGTAATCACAGCGTGTAGCATAGTCCTTACAATGTAACTGGAAAAAAAAACCCTTGTCATTATTGTGTATGCACCAAAAAAAAATACATGTCAGTGTCCAAGAAATCAAGATGAAAGCTACATAGCATGAATGTTCAACTCGACGTATGCCTTTGCCCGTTCCCTGTTGTTCTTAAGCATCGACCTCGTGTTCTTGATGCTATGAACCTTGCGCCACCAGTTTTGACGCGACAGGGGTTTGGCATTGCCCTTGCGAATGTCTGCTATCCACTGCTGGAAAAACTCCTCGTTAGTTTCTGTCCATCCTGGCCAGCCATAACCCTGCTTGTCCCAAACGTCCGGAGGAGGGAACCACGAGACCGTTGTTGTCTGCTCGCCACGCCCTGTATATGAGGAATCAATTCACTATTGAAGACACTCACGGAAGACAGACCTTACCTGTATAGAGGCAGTATGTCCCACACAAACATGCAATCTCCTCACCAGTGAGGTCGTCATCCCAGTAGAAATACCCGTCATGTTTAGACGGGACAAAGTACCCCAAATGATGCACTGTGACCTCGATGGACGGTCCTTGCAACCCAGACTCCTTACTACCAAATTCCCTTGCAATCCTCCCTACAATGCCACCGCGAAGTATTGCAGCTTGCCCTTGCGGGCGGCCCAGCAGCGCGCGGCACTCGAGCATAGCACTGTTGAAGTCTGCTGTCGTGAATTGGTGCTTGTTAAAACGGTTGGCGTTGTCTGCGTATGGGAGATTGAGCTGTTCAGGCTCCGAGGAGGCCTGCAGAAGGAGGGTGCGGAAGGGTATGTGGTGCTCAAGTAGGTGGTAGGCGATTGTCAGCACCATATGCGTGTTCGGAGTGGAGGCAACCAGTCGACAGATGTAAAGAACAGTCGTGGGGCGATCAACACCGATGACCCATTTGCAAGAGGGGGAAGGAGGTAGCTTGAACACGTATAGGTCCTCACTGATGCGTTCCACAGTGTCGAGCGCAAAGGATGTTGCCAAAGGCTGATCCGATGTTGTGTTGAGGTCGTCGGAGGGTGCTGGCAATCCCGAAGAGCTGTCGATGAGGCATGAAATGAACTCGTGAATTAGAACCTTGTCTCGGTCTGAGACATCAGGCTCTGATTTTGTCCCGATGACACCCAGGACATCTGACCAACTCCGGAGGTTGGGTGCTTGAGGGTGGGGTGTTTGAG